GCTGTGTTCATCCAGCTCTACACCTTGTTATCTCAGATTCTCTAGCATCTGCAGTTCCTAGTATCTCTTCCTTGAATGGGTTCTGTTTTGGAGATGTGGTTTATGGCATCACATAGTCCTCAAGATTCATAAGCGAGTGCCATTCCCAAATTTGGGAGGAGTGGGGGGGTTTTCCAAGACAAAACTGTCAACTGCTCATTGAATTATTTTATTGGTAGGTTTGGAATAGACTAGAACACATTGTTCTTTCAGTTTTAAGATTTAAGATACTGTGTTGAGAGGCAGAGATGTGAGCACATTACAGCCGTCACTTGACCACTGCTCCCCTCCTGCTGAGATAAGTATTTCTGGTTGAAATTCAGCTCCAGCAATCAGAAAAATCCTGGGAAGTGACACAAAAGAGTCCACTGAAACATAAACCCCTACAGGTCATTTGTAACTTGTGGCCAATGTTCTATTTCCATTTCAAAACTGATTGTCAATCAAGTGTAGCAGGAGCTTGGATATTTTTTAATGTTCAATGGCAGGACCTCTCTTTTCAAAGATAATGATTACTGAATATTTAAATAGAGTCATACAGTTATACAGCATGGAAACAGACCCTTCAGTCCAAACCATCCATGCCGACCAGATATTCTAAACTAATCTAGTCCCATTTGCCAACATTTGGCCCATATCCCTCTAAATCCTTCCTATTCATAGACCTATCCAGATGCTTTTTAAATGTTGTAACTGTACCTGCCTCAGCCACTACCTTGACAGCTCATTCCATACACAAACCACTCTCTGCATGAAGAAGTTGCCCCAAGGTTCCTTTTAAATCTTTCCCCTCTCACCTTAAACGTACGCCCTCTAGTTTTGGACTCCCTGCCCTGAGAAAAAGACCTTTTGCTGTTCACCCTATTCGTGCCTTTGTCATTTTATAAACCTTTGTAAGGGCACCCCTTTGTCTCAGATGCTCCAGGCATAAAAGCCCTAACCTATTCAGCCTCTCCCTATAGCTCAAACCCCTGATTCCTTTCAAGTTTAACAACATCTTTCCTATAGCAGAATTGAATACAGTATTCTTAAAAGTGGCCTCACCAATGTCCTACGCAGCCACAACATGACATCCCAACTCCTGTACTCAATGCACTGACTAATGAAGACAAATGTGCCAAATGCCTTCTTCACTGCCCTGTCTACCTGCACCCCTAGGTCTCTTTGTTCAGCAACACTCCCCAGGACTCTACCATTATTTGTATACGCCCTGCCCTGATTTGCCTTACCAAAGTGCAACACCTAACATTTATCTAAATTAAACCCTGTCTGCCATTTCTTGGCCCATTGGCCCATCTGATCAAGGTCCCAGTACACTCTCAGTGCAAATCATTGCAGAAGAATTCCCAACACATTTTTCCATGGTAAATATTATACTATGGTATATCGATGACTGGAAAAAATAGTGTAATGCGTCTGAATAAACAATGGTGGTCAATATAATGAGCAACCTATCTTTCCAGACTTTCCTATGGTTCAACTGCTGCAATAAAAACAACTTAACTGACAACACACGCTAGGAAGGAACTGTAGTGTTGGGATGGACTCCAGCTGAACTAATCTGGGACTCATGACCTGGTGCGAAGACTAAATAGAGAGGTCAGAAGGACATTTTAGACTTTAAACTAGTAAATGGGGAGGAGGGGTGAAGCAGACAATGCAGTTTAAAAATCAAGTAACGGGACAGAGATTAAAGAAACAATCATGAATCCTACTTCAAGTACAGCAAGTAATGGCAAAACTCGAAGTATATTGATTAAACCAGAAAAAAAATAAACAAGTAAACAATGCATCAGTGCTGAGGAACACATTAGAGGGCCAAATAAGAGTTCTATATCCAAGTGGTTAGTACTGCTACCTCACAGCATCAAGAGACCTGGATTCAATTTCAGCCTTGGGTGGCTGTCTATGTTCTAATCTTTTTTCTAAAAATAAGGAAGGCGATGTTGTTTTCGATTCCTTGCTTTAGCAAGATTTCTTTTTTCTTTTAGTACAGAATTTGTGTACATCATTTCCGGAACTGAATGTTTTTGGGTGGATAGATGGAATCAGATTAATTTGTTTTGTAGATTATGGTCTCCATCCCACGTTAGGCTCCGCTGTGTTTAACGCGGACAGGAGGGGTTTCTGTTTTCGGAAATGCACTTTGCTCCGCAGTCCGTCCCAATACAAGCCCCTCCGCTTTCGCAGGTTATTTTCCGCAAACGTAGGTTCTCACTAACATCTCCCCCGTGCGGAAACGAGCGCCGTGCTGCTGCAGACACTGAAGTTTGCTTGCAGTCTGTGGGAGACTGCTCGGGTCGGAGGAGTGATCGAATGAACAGTCTGTGGGTCGGCAAAGATTTGGAAACGCCTCGCTGACTGACAACATGGATCACCAGCTGGAAGGTGAAGATTGGCAAACGGACGGCGTTGAATGATATCGGTTGGAGAAGCTGGAGGAACACAGCAGGCCAGGCGACATATCAGAGGAGCAGGAAAGTTTCTAAAGAAGGGTCCCGACCCGAAACGTCCGCTTTTCCTGCTCCTTCTGATGCTGCCTGGCCTGCTGTGTCCCTCCAGTTCCACACTGTGTTACCTCTGACTCCAGCATCGGCAGTTCTTACTGTCTCTGGTTGTAAAAGCATTGAGTAAGTTTTCAGGAAGTGGCTAAGATCACATAATTTTTATGATGCGAATGTAATGTCTGCACCAGAGGTGCAGTTGCCAGGACCTGAGAAGTTAAAAAGCAAAAGAACAAAACTTCAGTTCTGAGAATATCAAAGTGAATGTGAATAATAAAAGTGCTGGTGATACTCAGCGAGTCGAGCAGGAGTTGCGAAGGGTTGGCCGTTCAAGTCTAATGCAGGAACATGTAGGGAGCTCAACTCAAGAGTCAGAGCAATAACATATCATTACTGCTACTCGTGGGGTTTAAAAATCTTTCCTGTCACCTCTGTTTCATTTGAGCTACTGGAGTAGCTCTGTGTACCGTGATAATTTAGAGCATTAGCTCCATCGGCTGCTTGTTTAGTTTGTTAGCTCATTGAGATCAGCTTTCACAAACCACCTTTCATTTAATATCTAAATAACCATTTTCTTTACATTTGACTATGAGTTGAATATGTAATTCTTGCATAAATGTGGAAAAATATATGTACATATATGACGTCAGTTGTATATTGATTAGGGCTGAGCTACAAGCAAAGTGTCACGGGTATTTCAATTGCACCATTGGAGAGTTTTGACAGTTGATACAATGTCCTATTTTGGATGGCAAAACCAACTTAGGCATGGAAGTGTCAGTCAAACTTTCCTTTCTCCCATTCTCCCAGGTTCTCTGTCTGTCACATCTGTTCTGACCATGCCAACTTCTAAAAGTGGTCCTCTGAAATGTCCTTCTTCTTCAACAAAGTATTGCACAACACTACCACTGCCAAGGCCCTCAGTCGTGTTCAACCCATCTCCCACAGTTCAGCCCTCACCCCTTCTTTCCCTCCCCACAACAGTGATAGCATCCCTCAGTCCTCACTTTACCACTCCACCAGCATCCACATCCAGAGGGTCATTAGTCATCATTTCTGCCACCTCCAGCGGGATGCCACCACCAGATGCATATTCCCCTCCCCTCCCTTGTCAACATTCTGCAGGGACTGTTCCCTCTGGGACAGCTTGGTCTGCTCCTCCCCCACTCCCAACACCACCTCATTCCCCCACAGCACCTTCCCATGCAATTGCAGAAGGTGCAACAAGGCGCCAATTTACTTGCTTCTCACTATCCAAGGCCCCAGATGCACCTTCCATGTGAAGCAGCAATTTCCCTGCACTTCACTCAATCTAGTCTAGTGTATTTGCTGCTCACAATGTGGTCTGCTTTCCACTGGGGAGACGAAACGCAGACTGGGCGCCTGCTTTGTCGAACGTCTACGTTCTGTCCACGACAATGAGACTGAGCTTCCTGTTACTGCTACTACAACACACCAACCTGTTCCCTGGCCAACATCTCTGTCTCAGGCTTGCTGCAGTGCTCCAGCGAAACTCAGCGCAAGTTACAAGAACAGCACCACATGTTCCGTCTGGAGATGCTGCAGCCTTCAGGACTCCATATCGAGTTCAATAATTTTAGGGGCTTAGCACCTACTTCCATGTCCTTACCTCAACCCCCATACACCAGACATGGATTGCTACCACAACAACCCACTGTCATCCACTAATGGTCGCCATTACAAGGTATTGATCCTCCCAGGCTGACCGTTACACATTCCTTTGTCTGCCCAACTGTTTCTCTCTCTCTTTGGGCTCTACCTCCATCTAATACTTACTCCTCACCTCCCCCTCAACCCCATCTTCAGCATAGATATCAATCTTTTCCTAGCTAATATCAGTTCTGAAAAAGGGTCACCAGACCCAAAATGTTAACTCTGCTTTCTCTCCATGGATGCTGCCAGACCTGCTGAGTTTTTCCAGCAATTTCTGTTTTTGTTTCTGATTTCCAGCATCCGCAGTTTGTTCTTCTTTTCCCTTTCCAGTAGAAGGTGTAACCACTGCTTGTTCCTTCAGCTAGTTTTTCTGAGGAAGGCAAGTCTCAGTGAGGGTAGCAATGCCAATTTGAAGTCTTAATAGTTTCCATGACATAATTACAATTCTTCTTGCTGGACAGTCACTTTTGAAATTATTCATGGGTTTTCCAATATTGCAAATTCACAATCATGTAATAATTTGCATGAAATTGTTTATGGGATTGTGCTCCAATCCATACAGAACACATTCCTGCCCTTATCAGAATCACTTCTCAATCACACCCTGTATATGCCTTTTGCTATTCATATTGGCCACATCATCTATCGAAAAGAATTTAATACATTCCAGTCTGTCATTATTCTTTTCAGGATGTGGTTTACCTGCATGGATGCAAAGGCTTCAGTGCTTTTTACAACTATGAGTTTTTACCACATTTCTGATAAGACTTTATGCTTGGTTTGAACACTGATTGTTCTTAACTGCATTGCTTCTAAATGTTTCAGTGCACAGACATGAACAGGGATCTGAGGAGCTGAAAGGAAATGAACAAAACGTGCAGTGTGCTAAGGGTGACAACCAAAGTTAATGAGGAAAGTAATGGAAAAAATTGGATAGAAGATACAGATAGTATTTTTGAGTAATAATCTCTGTGTTTGATAGAGTGGATAGCGTATTTATATCCATTTCTCTTTTAGGCATAAATATTTGGATACACTCAATATTTTCTCTATTAACTCTTGGATGTCATGCATTCTCCCAGGTAGAAGAATATGGATACACAATTTTCTTGGAATCTTTTGTCCATGTTATTGAAAAGGGGGCAAACTACACCTCCCACATTCTCCTAGCATTCCCCCAACTGCTACGCTACCAATGAAATTATGACATTTACCTGACAGTATTAAATACACCGGTTGAATTAAGGCTGTAATCATTTCCTTGGGAATTTCTTTCTAGATTTTCTGTGTTGCAAAGCTTTCAGTGTTTTAGAAGTTATAATCATACTTGTGACTGTTGTGAACGTGTTTAAACAGAAAAGATTTCAAACAGTGGAATCCTTATCTTTAATTTGTTCATAGGATGTGCCTGTTGCTGGTTAGATCAGCATTTATTTCCCGACCCTAATTGCCCAGAGGGCATTTAAGAGTCAACCACATTGCTGTGGGTCTGGAGTCACATGTATACCAAACCAGACAAGGACAGTAGATTTTCTTTCCCACACAACATTGGTGAACCAAATCGGTTTTTACAACAATCAAGAATGGTTGCCTTTAGGCCAGTTCTCTATTCCAGACTTTTACTGGATTCAGTTTTCACTATTGGCTAGTCCAGTGACATTACCGCTACACCACTGCCTCCCCATAACTGTGCATATGAATGAATAATGTTCTGTGTTTCAGAAAACATTTTTACAGTGAAGAGTCATTGAGCTTTTATGAGTTTTGGCTAACTTCTTATAAGATACTTTTTATATGGTCTAAATTCTGGTTGTTCTTCACTCAACACTTCTAGTTGACTCAGAAAACAGACATGAACAGAGATCTCAAGTACTGGGAGGTAATGAGAAAAACCTGAAGCAGCAGGCTGAGTTGGATAATCAAAGTGACACTGTTGAGGAAAATCAAAGTAAAAGTGGAGGGAAAATGTAGATTGTTTTGAGAAATAATTCCTGTGTTCGCCGTGTAAATATGCCTTTTATGTCGATTTCATCTTTAGGCAAAAACAGTCAGATATAGGTGGAAGGCAATGGCAGAGTGATACTTTCACTGGACTACTCATCCAGAAACTCAGCTAATGTTCTGGGGACCCACATTCAAATCTTGACATGGCAGATAGTGGAATTTCAAATCAATGAAAAAGAATCTAGAATTAAATGTCTGGTTCACTGATGTTCTTTAGGGAAGGAAACTGCCATCCTTACCTGGTCTAGTTGACATGTGGCTCTGGACCCATAGCGATGTGGTTCACTCTTAACTGCCCTCTGGGCAATTAGGGATGGACAATAAATACTGGCCTAGCCAGTGACATCTGCAACCTATGAGTGAATTCCAAAATATACACCCTCTGTTCCCTGACCAAATGTCTTGCACTCTGCCCAACAGAAGATGGCGACATGAAATGTACTCTGACTCATCTGTCCATTTTATTTAAAGGCTGACAGTTTGGAGCAAAGCTCACTCTGCTCCCTGCCCACATTCCCTCCAACCTGTTGCATTAATAAAGAGTTTATCACATTTTCCTAAACAGTGTTAAACATACAATTTATCTGAAAACTTCTATTTGATCCAACAGAACCACTTGTGACTCATAAAAGCATTTTACAATTTTTACAATTTACAGTTTTACAATTAGACTATGTAGCCAATTGAGGCTGTTTGAAACAACATTATGACTTACCATGATTCTCTACCTTTTCCCCTATACCTTTGTACATTGTTTCAATTTAAATAATCATTTAATACCCTCAATAATGCATCAATTGTACCTGCCTCTGCCACACTTCCATTGCAGTGCATTCTAGACCCAAACCACTTAATGTGTGAATAAGTTTTTTTTCATATCATATTTGTTTCTTTTGCAAAACATTTTAAATCTCTGCCTTCCGTTCTTGATACTTTAATGAGCAGGGACAATTTCTGCCTGCTCATAATTTTGAAAAATTTGATCAGATTTCCTATTAGCCTAGTTCTCTCCAAGGAGAATAGTCCTAAAATCTCCAATCTATCCTGATAACTGGATTCTGTCATTCCTGTCAGAGTTCACTTGAAGTAGTGAGCAGATCTCGGGTCAAACCTTAGGAAGGATATATTGGCCTTGGAGGTTAAGATAAGCAATTTCCACTGGTTGGGGATTCTAGAATTATAGACATAATATGAAATTTAGTGTCAGACCGTTGAAGTGAGATGCTAGGAAGCACTTCTACATACAAAGGATGATAGATGTTCGGAACTCTCTTCCACAGATGGCAGTGGATGCTAGATCTGTTGATAACTTTAATTCTGAGATCTATAAATACTTGTTAAGCAATGGTATGAAGAGGTGTAGGCCAAAGGCAGGTACATGGAGTTAGGCCACAAATCAGTCAATATCTCAGTAAATGGCAGAAGAAGTTTGAGGAGCTGAATGACCTACTCCTGTTCCTATGGTCTGATGTTCTTGTTGTTGTGCCATGTCGGAAATTCTTTGCACATATACACTGAGGTACCTCTAATCCTGTGTTTCCTTTAGAACTGTACCTCTTATATTTTGTGTCCATGTTCTTGTTACAACAATGTTTCAGTTCACACATTGCTAAATTGAACCTTATCTGCCACCCGTCCACCCACTCCACCAACTTCTTTATGACCTTTTGATATTCTACGCAGTCCTCCTCACAGTTTACAATGTTTCCAACTTTTGTATCATCTGCAGATTTTGAGTTTCTTGAACTAATAGACCAGTGATAATCCAGTAGACCATTGCTTCCCCATATTTATACTTAACCTATTTTTCTAATCAACTTGTTCAGAACTGTTATTACACATATCTGAAGCAGGTGGGATTCAAACCTGGGTTTCTGGTCCAAGGGTAGGGACATTAACACTGCACCGCAAGAGGGCTGCAAAGTTTGAAAATGCCCCCCTGCACAGCAAGATCTAGGTCATCAATACGTATTAGGAAAAGCAATACCAACCTCTGGGGAAATCCGCTACAAACCTTTCTCCAGCCAAAAAATCTCTATTGACCATTACTCTCTGTTTCTGATTGCTTAGCCAGTTTTTCATCCATGTTGCTATTGTTCCTTTTATTCTGTGAGCTATAATGTTTCTCACAGGAGCGTTGCATGGCACTGATTCGGCCTCCTTCTGGATGTGTATGTACATTATTATCAACAGCATTCCACTCACTGATGATTACCATGACCTCATTAAAAGGCTCCAGCAAGTCAGTTAAACATCATTTTCCCTTTTCTGAAGAAGGGTCCAGACCCGAAACGTCAGCTTTCCTGCTCCTCTGATGCTGGTTGGCCTGCTGTGTTCGTCCAGCTCTACACCTTGTTTTCTCAGATTCTTCAGCATCGGCAGTTCCTAACATCTCTCTTCCCCTTTGTATGCTGGCTTTTCCTAACCAACACACTATAATCCATGTGGTTGTGAATACTAGGCTGAACAATTGTTTCTAGACGCTGTAGACACCATCGCTGCAAAACTGACTGGTCTGTAATTGCTGGGCTTATCCTTAAAACTTTTTTTGAACAGGGGGATGGTGTTTGCAATTGTGCATTCTTCTGGCAACACCCCTGCATCTAGAGAAAACTGAAAGATTTTGGCCAGAGCCCCAGCAATTTCCATTCACACTTCTTCCACTATTCTTGGATATACTTTTTATGGTTTTATCTGGACCGTGTCTTGTCAACCTTCAGTGCCACAGTCTGTTCACCATTTCTTATCAATTTTGCACCCTTCTAGTGACAGAGTACTGTCTTCTGTCACTGTGACCTGTGTAGCATCTACCTCCTAGGTAAATACAGACTAGTGAGTATGAAGAAAAGGAATGAGTAAACAGTATTGAGATACTTCAGTCTCAATACCTGTTGGAATCAGAAGTTTTACAAGACAAAAATAGAAATTGCTGGAAAAGCTCAGTAAGTCTGACAGCATCTGTAGAGAGAAATCAGAGTTAACATTTTGGGTCGAAAAACCCTCAGAAGTTTTACAGGGTCGCATGTTATGATCACATTCTGACTGTTATATACAAGATCTCTGGGTACTTATGACACTTGCAATAGTTTTATGTTCTGTTGAATGATGAATCCAATTAAGCAGTATTCATTTGGAAAATCTTGTTTGGTGGCTCAGTGTTTAACACAGCTGCCTCACAGCACAAGGGACCCTGGGCGACAGTCTGTGTGGAGTTTGCACATTCTCCCTGTGTCTGTGTGGGTTTCAGCCAGGTGCTCCAGTTTCCTCCCACAGCCCAAAGATGTGCCGGTCAGGTGGATTGGCCATGCTAAGTTGTCCTTAGTGCCAGCCATGGTAAATGCAAAGATAGGATAGGGGGGTGGCATGCTTTTCGGAGGTTCGATGCAGACTCAATGGGTGGAGTGGCCTCTCTCCGCACTGAAGGGATTCTATTCTATGTTTTACTTAACTACACAATACAACCATCGCATTATGAGATTGTGGGAACCCAGTTGTTCTGAAGTCTGAATTTTATTCCAAAAAAATTATTTAAAGATATGAGGGTGTAGCAATTACTACCTGACCTGTTTTTTTGCTAACATTGCTCTTGTATATATGCTTGACGACTTAACTTACTGGGAAAAGTTGGACATTGACTGGTTGGTACAGCACTCCAAACCATCACCTCAATTAATGTTTTCAAATCTGTTGTTGCAGAACAATATGCATTGGCATTGATGAAATATTCGACTCTTTTCACATTAAAAACATTATTCTCTACAGGATATTAGTTGGAGGTTGTACACTCATCTTTGCTGAGCTCATGGTGGTCAGAACCCTAAACTCTCATTACCTGCTGCTATCAGAACAATATTTTGATCACAGCCTGTAGACACTTTCTGCAATACAGCATCAGATGGACCATCTGTCAGATTTGATTCCAATCTGTAATCTTTCTTTTCCACAACTTATTTTGTGATTATGGATGCAAAGTGTTCTGTCAATTAGTAAAAAGTTTTTTTACGATTAAGAGTCTTTGATCTTCTTTGAGATTGTGGCTAATTTCTAATGAAATACTTTTGTTTGGTCTGAATGCTGATTATTCTTCACTCCATCACTTTTAGTTGTCTCAGAAGACAAACCTGAACAGAGATCTCAGGCGCAGGAAGATGATGAGACCAACCCGCAGCAGCAGGCCAAGTTGGATAATCAAAGTGTCACCGGTGAGGAAAAGCAAGTTCAAAATGCAGGTGACATTTCTGAAAACTAAATTCTGATTTCAACAGCGTGGATTAGGTAGCATTCGATCTTTGGCAAAGCAGTTAGATACACATGATACACTCTCTATTCCTTCACCAGATGCCATGGACTCTGCCCAGAAGAATGAAGGCACAGAATGTACTCTAGACACATTTTGTCTGTGTTCGTAAAAATTTAATAAGTACTACTTTAGTAATATTAAACTTGTTTTCATACTCTGTGCCTTAATTAAGTCCAGAGTATTCTATGCTCTCTCCACCTGTCCTGACACCTTCAATGATCTGTGCCCATAGTTCCCTCTTCTATCAGCACGGCCTGTAGCATCCACCTCTTTGGTAAAGACAAATAGCAAAGTATTTATTTAATATCTCAGCCATGCCCCTTGCCTCCTTGTGTAAAGTCCCCTTTTTGGTTAGAATCAGCCCTACTCAACCTTTTATCTCTCTTTTACTACTTTTGTGCTGATAAAAGTATTTAGGATTATCCTAGACTTTGGCTGCCAGTCTTTTCTCATGATTCCTTTTTGTTTTTTTAATATTCTTGTTGATCTCTCCTCTGAACTTTCTGTATTCATCTTTGTTCTCAATTGTGTTTTATGATTGACACCTGTCATAGGCACACTTTATCTTCTTTCTCTTAATCTCTATGTCATCTGCTTTACAGGAAGTTATGGAATTTTTTTTGTCTTCCCTTTGCCTTTTGAGGGAACATGCCTTGATTGTATCTAAACCATCTCCTGTTTGAAGGTAGTTTATTTTTGAAGTGCATTTATTCACCCTAACCTTTTGTTCCAGTCTATCTGACCGTAACTGTTCTAGCCCCATTGAAGTCAGCTTTCCTTCAATCAATTCTTCTTACTTTGGATGGATAATTACTATTCTCCTCCATCATGCTAAACCTTATGGTACAATGATTACTGTCTCCTAAATGCTTCCTCTACTGACATTTGATCCACTTGGCCCATCTCATTTCTGAGAACCATGTCCAACAGTGAATCCCTACTTTTTTGACAGCATATTGTTGTCAGAAATTCTGATGAACATAATCTAGGAAGGCTTGCCACTTGCTACTCCTTATACTAGCACTACACTACAAATTTTTATTTGGGTAAATGACATTTCCCATTGTAACTTGTTTATAATGTTGGCATCTCTCTGTGATTTCCCTCCACATTTGTTTGTCTACATCCTTCCCACTGGTTTTTGGTCAATAAATTACATTGAACAATGTAGTTGCATCCTTTTTGTTCCTTGACGCTAACCAAATTGATTCCATCAGTGGGCCCTTTGGGACATCTCCTTTCTCCAGCACTGCAATAATTTCCTTAACCATTCCTACCAACCCTCCTGCTTTCCTTCATTTTCTGGGCACCTTGTACTCAGGAATATTTAACACACAGTGGTACCTTTCTTTGAGACAGATCACTGTTTTTTGCCACAACATACTTCCACATGTCAATTTGCACCTGTAACTTCCCAGTCTTTTTACTTATACTCCATGCAATGACATACATGACCAAGAGCCCTGATTAAGACTTTATTACTTTCTCCCATACGACTTGACCTACTAACTAACTGTATCCTATGCCAGTGTTATCTATCTTTCCAAGTATATTGTGTTCCCTGGTATTCTCCCCTGTATTCTCCTTCAGTTCACAGGCCCTTGACGTGTTGCTAACAGCACTAGCAAAACACCCCACAAGGACCTCAATCCCAGCTCTGTTCAGTTGCAATGCATCCTGCTCCCACTTTCCCCAGAGGCAGTCACAATTTCCAAAGAATCTAATTCTCTCGGACTTGCACCATGTTTTGACACAAACGTTATTTGCCTTATTCTCATATTTCTGCATTCACTTGCACATGGCACAGGGGGTAAACGAGAGGTGACTTCTAAGGTTTTGTAGTAGATTTGTAGCTCGGGTTGTGGGTGTTGAGGTTGGTTGGCTCGCCGAGCTGATTTCTTGTTCCACAGACGTTTCGTTACCATGCTTGGTAACATCCTCAGTGCAGCCTCCAATGAAGCGTTGGTGTGTTTTCCCGCCTGGTTTTTAAATTCTGGAGTCCGTTGAGCTGGATTGCCTCACTTCCAGTTTTCCTTCGTAGTGGAGTATATATGGGGTCAAGTTCTATGTGTTTATTGATGGCTTTCCTGGTGGAGTGCCAGGCTTCTAGGAATTCCCGTGACTTCATTTCAAGTCCTCCTTGGTAATTTTCTACCTACCCACCTAAATTCTGACTGCAGGATCACAATTTCTTCCTGCCCAGGTCATTAGTACCATGGTGGAACATTACCTATGGATGTTCATCTTCTCCCAGAAAATGCTGTGATGTCACTCAATGACATCCTTGACCGTGGGAAGTAACATTACATCCTCTGGTCATATCTATGTCCACACAACTGTCTGTCTGATCTCTAACTCATGCTGATTAACATTGCTCTTTCTTTCTTCTTCTTCCTGGTGCCACATACATGATTGTGACTGCAGTCCTTCGAAGAGCCAATGCCTTCATCTGCTTCCAAAACAGAAAATCAATTTGTGGGCAAGACCCCAGGGGACTGTCGCTGTTGGATTGGATACCAATCTGTCATCTTTCTGTTCCAGAACTTGTTTTGTGATTATGGGTACAAAATGTTCTGTGTTTCAAAATAAAAGTATTTTCTATGAAGAGTCTTTGATTTTTTTATGAGATCTTGGCTAATTTCTAATGAAATACTTTTTGCTTGGTCTGATATGCTGATTATTCTTCACTCCATCACTTTTCGTTGGGTCAGAAAACAGATCTGAACAGAGATCTCAGGTGCAGGACGAGGATGAGAACAACCTGCAGCAGAAGGCCAAGTTGGATAATCAAAGTGTCACTGGTGAGGAAAAGCAAGGTAAAAATGCAGAGAAAATGCTGGTGATGTTTTTGAGCAATAATTCCTGTGTCTGACATGTAGGATTTCACCTTTAGCACAGCAATCAAATACCCATGATACACTCGCTGTTCCTTCACCAGATGCCATAGATTCTGCCCAGCAGAAGAAAGAGGGCATGGAATGTACTCTGAGACATTTGCAATCTCCAACATGGAGACGGGATGGACAATTATGTGAGGAGGAAGAGGAAAATCAAATTGAAAATAGTGTGCCCATACAGATTAGTGTTTGAGCAATATCCATTATTTTATACAAGAGATTGAAGGTCATTCAGATTCACATTTTGCTTGAGGTGTCTTCTGTACACACTTTGTTCCTGGTACAAGTGTGAATTTCCCTTCCCAGTATAGGAGGCGAGGACACCATTTACCTGGAGATCTCTCCAGATGTCATTCTAAAGCTGACACTTTAGCCGAATGGGCAGTTATGCTGTTACCTTCTGTTCAAAATCATGCCTGCATCCTCAGATTACCAAACAGAAAAAGATTTCAATGGTGGGTGGTTAATACACACATTTCTTGATAAGTGACATGCACAAATGTTCTTGTGTCACATTGATTTATATAATCTTGTTGATACATTCAGGGATGTGGGCTGGGCAAAACGTAAGGGACAAAATAACATTGGGAGGCAATACAAATGTAAAAGTGAAGTGGTGTGGCTGTGGAGCATCCAAGAATCCTGGGTAGCATTATCAAATGGAAAAGACGGATGCAAAGTCTTCAATTAATACCTCAGCCTTCCCCTTGCCTGCATGTGTAATTTCCCTTGTTTTTTTGCCAAACCAACCCTACTCCTCCTTTTACCAGCTTTTACTATTTGTATGCTTATCAAAGCCGATAGGATTACCCTTGAAATTGGCTGCCAGTCTTTCTTATTATGGTGAGAAGGTGAGAACCTTCAACTCTCATTACCTGCTGTCATCAGAACCACTTTTGATCACAGCCTGTACACACTTGCTGCAATATATTGTTCGATGGAATGTCAGATTAGATTCCAGTTTGTCATCTTTCTTTTCCAGAACTTATTTTGTGATTATAGATGAAAAGTGTTCTGTGTTTCATAACAATGAAATGTTTTTAATCTTTGAGTGTTTGTGTAACTTCTGATAAGAGACTTTTTGCTTAGTCTAAACGCTGATTGTTCTTCACTGCTTCACTTCTATTTGTCACAGGATACCGACCTGAACAGAGATCCGAAGCACCGGAAGATAATGAGCCAAACCTGCAGGAGCACGCCAAGTTGGATAATCAAAGTGATGCTGATGAGGAAGATCAAGGTTAGAATAGTGAGAAAACACTTGATATTTTCAGAAATAATTCCTGTATTGGACAGTGTGGATTTATGTTGATTTTGTTTCTTTGCAAATGCAGTCAGTTATGTGTGATACACTACCTGTTATCTCTCCTACCCTAGTGAACTAAGAGAGCTTGGAATGTACTCTGATACATTTGTCTACTTTCCTTAATGGCTGACAGTTTGGAGCAAATGTCGCTCCTGCTCTCTGCCCAGACACACCCCAACCACTCACATTACTAAACAGATGTTCACATTTTCCTAGACAGTATTAATTATACAATTTATCTGAACGCTTTCAGTATGATCCAGTTTAACCACTCATGATGCAAAGGAGGATGCAAATATAATGTTTGGAAAGAGATTGTTTGGCCCATCATGTATGTATCTGCTGTGTAAATCGGCATCGTGAGTCAGTTTGATTCTTGTGCTTTTTCATATCCTTGCTCATTAGTTCTATTTAGATAATCATTTAATGCCCTGTTCAATGCCTCAATTGTATCTGCCTCCATCACACTTCCTTTCCAGTATATTCCAGACCCAAACCACTTAATGTTTGAGTAAATTTTTTCTCATATCATATTTGTTTCTTTTTTAAAGCAATTTGCATCTGTTCCCTCTTGCTTGTGATGCTTTTACAAACTTGGACAGGTCCTCCCAGTCCGCTCATAATTGTGAAGACGTGATCAGATCTCCTGTTAGTCTTCTCCTCTCCAAGCTCTCCAATCTATCCTCATAATTGGATTCACTCACCCTTCGAACTGCTGTTGTAAATCTCATTGCAAAAGCGATCACATCCTTTCGACAGTTTCGCACCCAGAATGGTAATATAACACTCCAGCTGAGGTCTATCTAATGTCTTATGCGAGTTCAGCATGATGGCCTTGCCGTTGTGCTTTATGCCCTTGTAAATGAAGGCTAGAATATTCCTATGCTTCCAAAACTGCCCACTCCTCCAGTTCTGCCGACTTCAATAATCTCTGGCTACATAGATCCAGGTCTCTCTGCTCCTGCATTCGCTTCAGAATTGTATCTCTTTAAAATTGTAATTTTATATCATGAGTCCATGTTTTTGGTACAACCATGCATCATCTCCACACTTCTCTGCATTGAACTTCACCTGCTACCTATCCAACAATCCACCAACTTGTCTCTATCTTTTTTGATATTGTACACTATATTCCTAAGAGTTAAACAATGCGTCCAGGTTTCACATCATCTGCAAACTTTGAAATTGTCCCTTGAATAGAAAGATCTAAATCATTTATATCAGCAAAAGCAAGAATGGGAACATTGGGCATTTCCAGTACAACTTTTCTTCCAGCTTGAGAAACATCCATTGACCATTACTCTTTGTTTCTTATTGCTCAGACAGTTATTTTAATCTGTTGTGCCCTTTATTTCATAACCTGTGATGTTTCTTCCAAGACCGTTGCATGGCACTGATTCAAACTCCTTCATGAAAGTCCACAGACACCACCTCAACAGCAATACCCTAATTGACTATTTCTGTAACCTCTTTAATAGGTTCCAGCAAGTTAGTTAAAAGGTTTTTGAGAAGATTTGTCGCTCGGGTTGTGGATGAGGTTGTAGATTTGCTAACTGAGTCAGTGAGTTTGATTGCAAACGTTCTGACACCCTGCTAGGTAACATTGTCAGTGCGCCTCTGGTGAAGCGTGGGTGTTCTGTCCGGCTCACACTTTCTATGCCTCGGTTTGCTGGGGTGGTTGGCATTACTTCTGGTTCTGTTTTCTCAGTGGTTTGTACATCGGATCCAGTTCAATGTGTTTGTGGATGGAGTTCCGGTTGGAATGACAGGCCTCCTGGAATTCCCTGGCATGTTTCTGTTTGGCTTGTGCTATTATGGATGTGTCGTCCAAGTCGAATTCACGTCCTTCTTTGTCCGTGTGTATTGAGACCGGTGAGAATTGGTCTTAGCTCTTGGTGGTTAGTTGGTGTTCATGTATCCTTATTGCCAGTTTTCTTCCAGTTTGGCCTATGTAATGTTTTTCACAGTCGTTGCATGGTTTTTTTGTATATTACGTTAATTTTATTGTTTGTGGAAATGGGATCGTTTACGTTCATCAGTAGCTGTCGCAGGATGGTTGTTGGTTTGTGGGCTACCCTGGTAACTATGGGTCTGATTAGTCTTGTGGTCATCTCTGATATGTCCCTGATGTACAGTAGGGAGACAAGTGTGTCTGCCCATGTTATTGTGGTCTGTCACAGAGGTTAACAGCAGATTGTGCTTTTTGGGTATCCATTCCTTTTAAAAACTCCGTATAAGTGCTCCAGTCCTACATTGCGCAATTCCATGTTGCTGCAGTTTGTTGTGGCCCATTTGGAAAATATCCTGATGCAGCTCTGTTTATGCGTTTGAGGTGGTTGCTGGAATAATTAAGTATCTGGTCCGTATCTGTGGTCTTTCTGTATCCGCTAGTCTGGAATTCCCCATAGTTCTTATGTACCATTATGCCGAGGAAGGGTGGTTGGTTATTGTTCTCTTCTTCTTTTGTGAATTTTATTCCGGTGAGGATATTATTTATGCATCGGCGAGTTTCTTGTAGTCTTCTGCATTTGATAATCATGAACATGTCATCTCCATCGCGGACCCAGAGTTTGGATTGTATAGTAGGGAGCGCTGTACGTTCTAACCTTTGCATTACCGCTACTGCAATCAGTCCTGATATTGGGGATCCCATTGGCGTTCCATTGATTTGTTTGAATATACAGTCATTGAAGGTAAAGTGGGTTGTGAGGCACAGATCCAGCAGCTTCAGGGTGCTGTCCTTGTTGACGCTGTTGGTGTCGTGGGGTGACTACCTTCCTGATTTGTCCAGCAGTGTGGACCCCGAAAGGTACACAAGCCAGGGGTCCCTTTCAGACCCACTGTCTCACTACCAGACACGTCAAAATATAGGCTCAACTTCAACTGGAACAACACATCCATAATAGCATATGCCAAACTTGTGAATGTTGTGAACTTTAAGCACAAACATTCTATCAACCACTTTCTACTTATCAATTTTAAATGCTTCCCACGACAGACTTACCTCCTATTCTTTGAAGTATTCATTCAGTACTTTCAGTCAAGTCCCTTGTTTCCATTTGTAACTCCCTATTTTCCTCCTGTATCAGCCGTACTCATTCTTTCACCAGGCTTTTACGATTTGTATGCCTGTAGAAGCCTTTAGGATTACTCTTGAAATTGCCTTTCAGTCTTTTCCTGTTATTCCAGTTTGCTTTTCTAATATGCTTGGTTAACTCCCCTCTGAACCTTTTGTATTCTTTCGGTTCGTAATTGCATTTTCAAACCTGACATCAGCCATAAGCACACTTTACCTTCTTTCTCTTCATCAGGAAGTTCTGGATTTTTTTTGTCCTCGATTCACCTTTTGAGGGAATATGCTTGGATTGCATCTGAATCATCTCCTCTTTTTAAGGTAGCTGATTCCGCAGTCCATTGTTTCATCCCGATCTTTCGTTCCAATCTATCTGGCCCACTTCTGTTTAGGCCCATTTAAGTCAGCTCGCCACTGATTTGATTCTTCTTACTCCAGATGGACCATTGTCATCCTCCATCATACTAAACCTTACAATGATCACTGTTTTCTAAATGTTCCCCATTGACACTTGATCCACTTGGTCCACCTTATTTCTGAGGACCATGTTCAACATTGTGTCCTTATGTTTTGGACTTGGATGCATACTGTGTATGAAATTCTTCCAAACACAATCGAGGACGCTTGTCACTTGATTCCCCTTACATTACCAGTCTATAGTTGGTAAGTAAAGTTCCACATCATAATTCATCTAAAATGATGGCCTTTCATTGTGATTTTCCTGCAGATTTGTTCCTCTGCATTGTTTCCACAAAGTGGTGGTCTGTAGACTAACTGAGCAATATAGTTTGTGTTTCTTAACTTTAAATTGATTCTGTCAGTGAACTCTTTGGAATATCTCTCTTTCTTCAGCATTGGAATGATCTCCTTAATCAATCCTGCCAGCCCTCCTGCCTTACTTCCTTTTCCGTATTTTCCTGATACACTGACACACTCGGGAACAATGAATTCCCTATCCTACCTTACCTTCAGCCAGGATTTGGTTTTGCACACCCTTGCTAGGTTAGTTTAAAGGCCTCCCAACAGCACTAGCAAAATGTCTGCAAGGACCTCAGTCCAAGCTATGTTCAGCTGCAACCCATTCAGCTCACGCAGGTGCTATCTTCCCCGGAGCCAGTCCCAAAGTGCCAGGAATCTAAATCCCTTGAACCTACACTATCTTTCCACCCACACATTTATCTGCCTTATCCTCATATTCCGTATCTCATATATACTCACTTGCACATGGCACTGGGAATTATCTAGCGAAGACTTCATTTGAGGTGGTGCCTGCTACGTTTCTATTCAATGACCTAAATTCTGATTGCAGGACCCAATCTCTTCCTGCCCAGGTCATTTATACCACCGCAGACCATGGCCTCTGGCTGTTAATCCTACCAAAAGAATGCCTCACATCTGCGCTGTGACATCCTTGACCTTTGGAGGCAACATTATGTCCTGGAGTCATGTCTGCAATCACAGAATTGTCCTATGTTGCCTAACTAATCCCAATTACTATTGCTCTTTCTTTCTTCTTCCTCTGGTGCCACATAAATGACTGTGACTGCAGTCCACATTGAAGAAGCATAACCCCATCTGCTTCCAAAATGGAAAACCAGGAAGCCTTCAGTGGGCCTCTTGTTCTACCTTCCTGTTTCTTCTGGACTGCCCAGCATTCACCCATTCCCTTTCAGCCTCCAGGATGTGACCATCTCTCTGAATGTGCTATCCATTTAATTCTCAATCTCCTAACTATGCTACAGTACCTCCAGCTGCTGTTTGAGCTCAGAAACCCTTTGTCTATCTTTATTTGCAGACCTTTCTAACCCTTGGAAACAATAATTAAACTTGCAGAGATTGTAGGAACTGCAGATGCTGGAGAATCTGAGGCTTTGCAGTGGGGTTAAAATTGTTTCAGAGGGCTTCGCAGTGGGGTTAAAATTGTTTCAGAGGGCTTTGCAATGGGGTTAAAACGTCAGCTTTCCTGCTCCTCTGACGCTGCTTGGCCTGCTGTGTTCATCCAGCTCTACACCTAATTAAACTTGCAATTGTTCACCACCTGCAGGTTTAAAGATGACAATTTCAAATGTCGGAATGTCTTTGTTTGGAATGATTCTTTCTAAATGCTTGTCTCCTTTCTCTCCCATAATCCACAGATGAAACACGTGAGGGGATGTCATTATCAGATGTGCAATCTCCAAGGCGCAGACAGGATGGACAATTCCATCAGGATGAAAAGAAAAATCAAGTTGAAAATGGTGAGGCAATGCAGATTAGTGTTTGAGCAATATCCCTCATCTTGTACAAGAGATTGAAGGTCATTTACATTCAGACTTTTTCTAAGGTTATTTCAGTACAATAAAAATATAAAAGTGATGTGGTGTGGCAGCGTTCATCCAAGAATCCTGTACTTCACTAGAACGTGGGATAATATAGGGAATGGTGGAACTGCTGAATCTGCTTGCATGGCGTTCAGAAAACAGCAGAGAAGTAGAGTTATACTGAAAGTTTAATGTAGATTGGGAAACATAAGTCTCAATATTGGCATCACCAGTTTTACAAGGTCTCGGCCTATGATTTTATTGGGGCTGTGTTGTTCCAAGATCTCTGGATATTTAAGACACTTGCAATAGTTTTATGTTCTGTCGAATGATAAATTCAACAAAGCAAGGTTCAGTCTGAAAATGATAGCTGGTATGATGTAATCATCGCATTGTCAGATTATGGGTATCCACTTATTCTGAGGTCTGAGAGAATCTTCTTCCAAAACAAATATTTAAAAGATGTGAGAGTGCAGCAATTACTACTTGATCTGTCATTGATCACATTAGTCCACCTTAACTTGCTGGGAAAAATTAGATGTTGACTCTTTGGTACAGCACTCCAAACCTCGATTAATACTTTCAAGTCTCTTTTTGCAGAGCAACACATATTAGCATTGACAAAATATTTTATCCTCCCATTGGAGTTTGTACTCCTTGCCGAGTTCGTGGTGGTGAGAACATAAAACTCTCATTACTTGCTGTTATCAGAAGAACTGTTTGATCACAGCCTGTAGACACTTTCAGCAATACAGTATTGGATGATATGTCAGATTGGATTCCATTCTGTCATCTTTCTTTTCTAGAACTTATTTTGTGATTATAGATGAAAAGTGTTCTGTGTTTCATAACAATGAAGAGTCTTTAATCTTTGAGTATTTGTGTAACTTCTGATAAGAGACTTTTTGCTTGGTCTAAATGCTGATTGTTCTTCACTGCTTCACTTCTATTTGTCACAGGACACCGACCTGAACACAGATCGGAAGCACTGGAAGATAATGAGCCAAACCTGCAGCAGCAGGCCAAGTTGGATAATCAAAGTGATGCTGATGAGGAAAATCAAGGTTAGAATAGTGAGAAAACACTTGATATTTTCAGAAATAATTCCTGTGTTCGACAGTGTGGATTTATGTTGATTTTGTTTCTTCATGAAAGCAGTCAGTTATGTGTGATACACTACCTGTTATCTCTCCTACCCTGGAGAACTAAGAGAGCATGGAATGTACTCTGATACATTTGTCCACTTTCCTTAATGGCTGACAGTTTAGAGCAAATGTCACTCCTGCTCTCTGCCCAGAAACACCCCAACCGCTCACATTACTAAACGGATGTTCACATTTTCCTAGACAGTATTAATCATACAATTTACCTGAACGCTTTCAATATGATCCAGTTTAACCACTCATGATGCAAAGGAGGATGCAAATATAATGTTTGGAAGGAGACTGTTTGGCCCGTCATGTATGTATCTGCTGTGTAAATCGGCATCGTGAGTCAGTGTGATTCTTCTGCTTTTTCATGGTACCAGCATTATTGAACTTGTTTTATTACTCTGTGCCAATGTTAATTAAGGCCAGGGTATTCTATGCTGTCTCCACCTGTCCTGTCACTTTCAATTTCTGTGCCCATAGTTCCCTTTTCATTCGCACAACTTGGGTAGCATCCACCTCCTTGGTAAAGACAAATACCAAAGTATTTATTTAATATCTCAGCGCTGCCACTTGCCACCATGTGTAAAGTTCCCTTTTTGGTTAGAATCGGCCCTACTCAACCCTTTACGACTTATATGCAAATAGAAGCGTTTAGGATTATCCTAGAAATTGGCCACCATTCTCATTATTCCTCTTTGCTTTTTTAATATTCTTGCTCACCTCTCCTCTGTACTTTCTGTATTCATTTTTGTTGTCAATTGCGTTTTATAACTGACACCTGTCATAGGCACTCTTTATCTTCTTTCTGTTCATTTCTATGCCCTCTGTAATCCAGGAAGTTCTGGAATTTGTTTCGTCTTCCCTTTGCCTTTTGAGGGAGATGCCTTGATTGTATCTGAACCACCTCCTCTTTGAAGGTGGTTTATTTTTGAAGTCTATTTATTCACCCCCAATCTTTAGTTCCATTCTATCTGTCCCAGTATTGTTTTTGCCCTATTGAAGTCAGCTTTCCACAAATCGATTCTTCTTACTTTGGATTGATAATTACTGTTCTCCTGCAACATGCTAAACCTTACAATACAATGATACTGTCTCCCCCGACTGACATTTGATCCACTTGGCCCATCTCATTTCTGAGAACAATGTCCAACAGTGTATCCCTACTTTTTTGACAGCATACTGCTGAAGGAAATTCTCATGAACACAATCTAGGAAGGCTTGACACTTGCTACTCCTTATACTACCACTACACTAGATGTTTTTATTTGGGTAATTGGCATTGCCCATTGTAACTAGTTTATAATGTTGGCATGTATCTGTGATTTCCATCCACATTTGTTTGTCTACACCCTTCCTACTGGTTGGTGGTCAGTAATTTACATTGAACAATATTGTTACATCCTTTTTGTTCCTTAACTCTAACCAAATTGTTGAGCCCTTTGGGACACCTCCTTTCTCCAGCACTGCAATGATTTCTTCAACCTTTTCTACCAGCTCTCCTCCTTTCCTATCTTTTCTGTACACCTTGTAGTCAGGAATATTTAACACCCAGTCGTACCCTTCCTTAACACAGGTATCTGTTTTTGCCACAACATACTTCCACATGTCGATTTGTACCTGGAACTCGCCAGTCTTTTTAATTATACTGCATGCAACGACAGACATGCACAGGACTCCTCATGAAGACTTCATTCCTTTCTCCTTTATGTTGACTTGACTTAGTAATTTACTCTATTCTCTGCCAGTGTTATCTGGCTTTCCAAGTATATTGTGTTCTGCGGTATTCTCCTCTATATTCTCTCTTGGTTCACAGATCCTTGGCACATTAGTTTATAGCCCTCCAACAACACCAGCAAAACACCTCACAAGCACTTCAGTCCCAGCTCTGCTCAGCTGCAATGCATCCTGCTCCTTCAGGTTCCATCTTCCCCAGAAGCAGTCACAATATCCAAGGAATCTAAATCCCTTGGACCTACATCATGTTTCCATCCAAACATTTATCTGCCTTATTCTCATATTTGTGGACTCACTGGTATATGGCATTGGGAGTAATCGAAAGAAAATTTCATTTGAGGTCCTACTTGCTAATTATCTACCGAACTACCCAAATTCTGAATGCAAGATCATAATCTCTTCCTGCCCAGGTCATTAGTACCATTGTGAAATGTAACCTTTGGATGTTCATCGTCCCCCAGAAAATGCTGTGAAGCCACTCTCTGACATCCTTGACCCTGGGAAGGAACATTAGATCCTGTGGTCATATTTATATCACACAAACGTCTGTCTGTTCTCTAACTAATGCCAATTAATATTGCTGTTTCTTTCTTCTTCCTGGTGTCACATACATGACTGTGACTACAGTCCTTCGAAGAGCCAATGCCTTCATCCGCTTCCAAAACAGAAAACCAATTTGTGGGCAGGACCGCAGGGGAACTGTCACTGTCGGAATGGATTCCAATCTGTTATCTTTCTTTTCCGGAATTAATTTTGTGCTTATGGGTACAGAGTGTTCTGTGTTTTAGAATAAAAATTTTTACTATGAAGAGTCTTTGATCTTTTATGAGATTTTGGCTAATTTCTAATGAAATACCTTTTGTCTGGTCTGAATGCTAATTGTTCTTCACTCCATCACTTTTAGTTGCCTCAGAACACAGACCTGAACAGAGATCTCAGGTGCAGGACGATGATGAGAACATCCTGCAACAGAAGGCCAAGTTGGATAATCAAAGTGTCACTGGTGAGGAAAAGCAAGTTAAAAATGAAGAGAAAATGATAGTGATGTTTTTATGCAATAATTCCTGACTCCGCCAGCATTGGTATGATATTTAGGCCGAATTAAACTTCAGACACATGATATATACGCTATTCCATTACCAGATGCCATATGCTCTGCACAGCAGAAGAATGAGGGCACGAAATGTACTCTGAAACCTATTTCCATTTTATTTAAAAGACTTTCTTGAATACTGTACCCTCATGTTAATTAACCCCAGAATACACTATACTTTCCTCACCTGTCCTGTCACGTTCAATGATCTGTTCCCATATATATCCAGGTCTCTCTACTCCTGTATCTCCTTTAGAATTGTAAATTTTATTTTGTATCGTTTGTCCATGTTCTTCCTTGAACAATGCATCAGCTCACACTTCTTTGCAGTAAATGTCAGCTGCCATCTATCCATCTGCTCCATGAATGTCCTTTCAATATTTTACACTGTGCTCCTCACAGTTTACAGCACTTCCCAGTTTTGTTTCTGCTGCAAACTTTGAAACTGTCCCCTGGAAAGCAAAATCTAGGTCATTAATATATACTAAGAAAAGCAAGAATGGCAAGCTTGGCTCTCAGGGAACTCCATACAAACATGCTTTCAGTCTGAAAAATATCCATTGACCATTACTCTCTTTTTCTGATTGCTCAGCCAGATTTTTAATAAATGTTTCTGTTGTGTGTTTTATTCCACGATCTGTAAGGTTTCTCGCAGGAGTGTTGCAGGTGATTCGACCTCTTTTTGAATGTCTATGTACAGCGTATCAGTGGCATTACCCTCACTGACTGTTACCAATGACCTCATTAAAGGGCTCCAACAAGTTAATTTAAACATGATTTCCCCTCTAAGAATCTGTGTGGCTCTTTCTAATCAACACACTATATTCCATGTACCTTGAATAATTGTTTCTAGATACTTCCTCACCATTGCCACAAAACTGGCTGGTCTGCAATTACTGGGCTTATCCTTAAAACCTTTTCTTCGAACAAGGGCATGGTGTTCGCAATTATCCAGTCTTCAGGTACCACCCCTGAGTTGAGAGAAGACTCATCAAGCATGGCTTCATACATGCACAGGAATCCTGATTAAGTCTTTATTACTTTCTCGCTTACTTCGATTTGACCTATTACCTTCCCAGTCTCTGTACTTTCCAAGTATATTGTGCTCCCTGGTATTCTTTTTCTCTCAGTTCTCACACCTTTGCCAGGTTAGTTTAAAGCCCTGCCAGCAGCACTCGCAAAACGCCTGACAAGGACCTCAGTCACAGCTCTGTTCATCTGCAATTGCATTCCTGCTCCTACAGGTGCCATCTTCCTCAGAGGCAGTAATAAAGACTTAATCAGGATTCCTGTGCATGTATGAAGCCATGCTTGATGAGTCTTCTCTCAACTCAGGGGTGGTACCTGAAGACTGGATAATTGCGAACACCATGCCCTTGTTCGAAGAAAAGATTTTAAGGATAAGCCCAGTAATTGCAGACCAGCCAGTTTTGTGGCAATGGTGAGGAAGTATCTAGAAACAATTATTCAAGTTACATGGAATTGCTTTCCTGCTCCTACAGGTGCCATCTTCCTCAGAGGCAGTCCCAATGTGCCAGGAATCTAAATCTCTTGTTCCTGCGCTGTCTTTCCACCAAACATTTACCTGGCTTATCCTTAAATTTCTGTACCCACTTGGACATGGCACCCACTCTCTTTCAGCCTCTCGACCCTTGAGCTGCGATGTGACCATCTCTGTCAATGTGCTATCCATATAGTTCTCAATATCCTAAATATGCCACAGTACCTCCAGCTGCTGCTCGAACTCAGAAAACGTTTCCCACCTTCCTTTGCAGAGCTTTCTATCTCTTGGAAGCACTTGTTCGGCACTTGCAGATTTAAAGAGAACAATTTCAGATGTCAGAATGTCTTTGGAATGATTCTTTCTAACTGCTTGTCTCCTTTTTCTGTTATAAACCACAGGTGAAAAATGTGAGCAGAAGTTATTATCAGATTTGCAATCTCCAACACGTAGACAGGATGGACAGTTACGTGACGAAGAAGAGGAAAATCAAATTGAAATTGGTGAGGCAATGCAGATTAATATTTGAGCAATATCCACAACTTTGGACGAGTGATTGCAGGTCATTGAGATTCACATTTTGCCTGAGGTGTCTTCGGTGCACACTTTGTTCCTGGTACAAGTGTCATTTCCCCTTCCCAGTAAAGGAAGATAAGGACATCATTTACCTGGAAATCTCTCCAAATGTCATTCTAAAGCTGACATTTTAGCCACGTGGTCAGTTATGTTGTTACCTTCTGTTCCAAATCATACCTGCATCCTCCAATTACCAAACAGTCAAAGATTTCAGTGGTGGATGATTAAGACATAAATTTCTTGATAAGTGACATGCACAAATATTCTTGTATCACATTGATTTGTATAATCTCATTCAGGGATGCAGGCTGGGCAAAATGTGAGTTTCAAAATAACGTTGGGAGGCGATACAAATGTAAAAGTGTGGCAGTGGATCATCCAAAGAATCCTGTGCAGCATTATAACATGGAAAAGACAGATGCAAAGTATTCAATTAATACCTCAGCCGTTCCCCTTGTCTGCATGTGTAAATTTCCGTTTTTTCCTCCAAAACAGCCCTGTTCATCCTTTTATCATGCTTTTACTATTTGTATGCATATAGAAACTTGTAGGAGTACCCTTGTAATTGGCTGCCAGTCTTTCTTATTGTGGTGAGAAGGCGAGAACCTTCAACTCTCTTTACCTGCTGTCGTCAGAACCACTTTTTGATCACAGCCTGTACACACTTGCTGCAATACAGTGTTTCATGGACGGTCTGTCAGATTTTACCCCAATTTGTCATCAATCTTTTCCAGAACTTATCTTGTGAGTATAGATGAAAAGTGTTCTGTGTTTCATAATAATGAAGAGTCTTTAATCTTTGAGCGTTTGGGTCATTTTTGATAAGGTACTTTTTGCTTGGTCTAAATGCACGATTGTTCTTCACTGCATCAGTTCTATTTGTCACAGGACACAGACCCGAACAGAAATCTGAAGCACTGGAAAATAATGAGCGAAACCTGCAGCAGCAGGCCAAGTTGGATAATCAAAGTGATGCTGATGAGAAAAATCAAGGTAACTTTAGTGAGAGAAAGCAATGATGTTTTTGAGAAATAATTCCTGTGTTCGACAGTGTGGATTGACGTTGCTTTTGTTTTTATGCAAAAGCAGTCAGTTATACATGATACACTACCTGCTTCCTCACCTGCCCAGTAGAGCAATGAGGGCTTGGAATGTACTCTGATACATTTATCCATTTTATTTAATGGCAGACAGTTTGGAGCAAACCTCACTCCTGCTCTCAGCACTTCCTCACCCAACCCCATTACTAGCAGATGTTCACATTTTCCCCTCGATATTATTAATCATACAATTTATCTGAAAACTTTCAATATGATCCAGCTTAACCATTCGTGATTAATATAAAGATGCAAACATACCACCACCTTCTCAAGGGGAATAGGGATGGGCAATAAATGCTGGCTAGCCAGCAACACCCAAATCCCACAAATGAATAATTAAAAATATATATATTTTGAGGGAGATTGTTTGGCCCATCATATCCGCATTGGCTGTCTAAATTATCATTATGATTCTTGTGCTTTTTCATACCCCTTGCTTATAGTTTCTGTTTAAATCATCATTTAATGCCTTCTCCAATGCCTCAATTGTATCTACATCCACACTTCCATTGCAGTATAGTCAAGACCCAAACCACTTAAAGTGTGAATGTGTCTCTTATCACATTTGTTTCTTTAGCAAAACAATTTAAATCTGTTCTCTCTTGCCCTTGGTGCTTTTACAAGCCTTGACAATTTCTCCCTGTCCGCTCATAATTTAGAAGACTCGATCAAATTTCCTGTAAGCCTTCTCCTCTCCAAGCTCTCCAATTTCTTCACCCAGAGGGTTGTTAATCTGTGGAATTCCTTGCCCAGTGAAGTAGTTGACGCTACTTCAGTAAACGCTTTTAAAAAAAAGGTAGATTTTTTTTGAACAATAAAGGAATTAAGGGATACGGTGAGAATGTGGCTAAGTGGATCTGAGTCCACGAAAGGATCAGCCATGATCTTATTGAATGGCGGAGCAGGCTCGAAGGGCCAGACGGCCTACTCCTGCTCCTAGTTCTTGTGTTCAATCCATCCTCATAATTGGATTAATTCACTCTTGAAACTGCTCTTATAAATTTCATCTGCATTTTCCACAAAAGACGTCACATCCTTCATACAGGTGGGCACCCAGAATAGTAGCATAATATCTCGCTGAGGTCTATCAAATGTCTTACGCAAGTTCAGCATGATGGCCTTGCTGTTGTAATTTATGCACTTGTAAATTAAGCCCAGAATATTCCTGTGCGTCCTAAACTGCTCTTTCATCCTGTTCTGCCACCTTCAATGATCTCTACCTACATAAACACAAGTCCCTCTGTTCCTGTGTCCTCTTTAAAATTGTAATTTTATATCATGAGTCCATGTTCTTGCTACAACCATGCATCAGCTCACACTTCTCCACATTGAACTTTAACTGCTACCTATCCACCCACTCTACTAACTTGTCTTTGTCCTTTTTGATATTATATACGCTGTCTTCCTAATAGTTTAAAAAGCTTCCAGGTTTCGTATCATCTGCAAACTTTTGCAATTGTCCCTTGTACAGAAAGATCTAGGTCATTTATATCAGGAAAAGAAAGAATGGTAATGTTACAACAGGGAATGGCTGAACCCCTCTGATAATTAAAATAAAACAAGCCCCGATCTGTTATGACAGGAGTAGCAGTTCCCCTCTAGTTATTACCCCCTGAAACACCCAGATGAGAAGCTCATCTTTCCCCTTGTAATCTATTAAAATAGTTGAAAGAAAGAAAATCCCTGATCTCCACTTTACAAGTAACAAGAAACAGTTTATTTGTTTAACCCAATAATGAACAAATTAACAAAAATCACTAACAAACCAACAATCCCCCCCCCCCCCCCCGCCAACCCCGACTACTAACTACTCCCTAACTGGTCTAAATTCTACTGGAATGCTGTTTAAACAAAGACAAGTCCCACTAATATAAACCCAATTAATAAGAAACAATAAATTATAACTTAATCTCTCCAAGTTTGCACAGACTGTCTTCTGGAATTTTCTGTCATCTCCAGTCTCTGCACAAACACCTTTCTTCCATTAATTTTGCTGTTAGGGATGTTTTATCTCTATAATTTCTTCAATGAGGACTTTGAGCTAAAATACCATGATATCTTTGATTAATCAGATTGGCTTTCTCTGAGGCAGGTGGCATTGGACTCTCCCCACTTTTCCAAATGCCCTCGTCTTATATACCTGTAATGACACAATCAACTTATTATAAAATGATTGGTTTCAGGTTGTCAACAGCATGAGATTTAAATTCAATTGACTTTCTGTATCCAGATGCTTTGTTTAAATTAATTGGCCAAATGCAAACTCGTTGTCACAACTTCAAAACAAGACTGCTGTTTTGCCTGCTATCTGTAAGGCTTTTTTAATACACTTGTTTCAATTTTTGAGGCTCTCTGGACTGAGCTGCTGCTCACGGACTTTTTTTTTAATTTCTAAGTACAGAGAAAGCACAAATCTCTTAAAGGAACCACACATTTTAGCTTTCTGCCTTCCACTTCACAATTATTCTACCCAACTTTGTAACAGTAGCACTGACTCACTGGAGTGCGGAACTCCAGTATAACCCTTCTTCCAGCTTGAGAACCATCCATTAGCCATTACTCTTTGTTTCTTATTGCTCAGACAGTATTTTTTAAAATCTATTATGCCCTTTATTCCATAATCTATGATGTTTCTTTCAAGACTGTGGCATAGCTGTTTCAAACTCCTTCATGAAAGTCCACAGACACCACCTCAACAGCATTGCCCTAATTGACTATTTCTGTTACCTCTTTAATAGGCTCCAGCAAGTTAGTTAAATAAGATTCCCCCTTTAGAAATCTGTGATGGCTGTTCCTTATCTTTTGTATTATTTTTGGCCCTTAATTGCATTTTCAAACAGGACACCTGTCATAAGCATACTTTATCTACTTTTTCTTAATTTGAATCTCCTTTGTCATCAGGAAGTTCTGGATTTTTTTTTGTCGTCTCCTTGCCTTCAGGGGGAATATGCTTTGATGATATCAGAACCATCTCCTCTTTTAAGGTAGCTGGTTCTGCAAATCCATTGTTTCCTCTCAATCTTTCATTCCAATCTATCTGGCCCACTTCTATTTTGCCCCATTTAAGTCGGCTCTGCACCAATTTGATTCTCCTTGCTCAAGATTGACTGTTGTCATTCTCCTCCATTGTGCTAAACCTTATGATACAATAAGCATTGTTTTCTGCATGTTCCCCATTGACCCTTGATCCACTTGGGCATACTTCATTTCTGAGAACCATGTCCAAGATTGCGTGCTTACTTTTTGGACGGGTGAATTCTGTGTCAGAAATTCCTCTGGACACAATCTAGGTCACTTGCCATTTGATTTTCTCTTACATGACCAGTTTATATTTGGGTAATTAACATTCCACATTACAATTAATCTATAATGACGGCCTCTCATTGTGTTATTTCTGCAGGTTTGTTCCTCTGCATCCTTTCCACAGAGTGGTGGTCTGTAGACTACACCAAGCAATATAGTTTTTGTTCCGTAACTATAAAATAATTGTCAGTGAACACTTTGGAACATCTCTCTTTCTCCAGCATTACAATGATCTCCTTAACCAATCTTGCTTGCCCTCCACCCTTCCTTCCTTTTCCATATTTTCCTGACACACTGTACTCCGGAATAATGAACACCCTATCCTACTTTACCTTCAGCCATGATGTGGTTTTGCACACCTTTGTTAGGTTAGTTTAAAGGCCTCCCAACAGCACTAGCAAAACGCCTGGAAGGACCTCAGTCCAAGCTATGTTCAGCTGCAACCCATTCAGCTCATCCAGGTGCTATCTTCCCCGGAGCCAATCCCAATGTGCCAGGAATCTAAATCCCTTGAACCTACACTATTTTTCCACCCACACATTTATCTGCCTTATCCTCATATTCCATATCTCATACATACTCACTTGCACACGGCACTGGGAATAATCTAGCAAGGACTTCATTCGAGGTGGTGCCAACTACATTTCTATTCAACGACCTAAATTCTGATTGCAGGACCTCAATCCCTTCCTGCCCAGGTCATTTATAGCACTGCAGACCATGGCCTCTGGCTGTTTATCCTACCTCAAAAGAATGCCTTACAGCTGCACTGTGATATCCTTGACTGTGGGAGGCTACATAATGTGCTGGAGTCAGGTCTACAATCATGGAAACACCATATTTTGCGTAACTAACCCCGATTACTATTGCTCTTTCTTTCTTCTTCATCGTGGTACGACAAAGATAACTACCCTCATCAGTTTTCAAAACAGAAAACCACTTTGTGAGCAGATCTGCAACGGACTTTTCCTATACCTGCCTGTTTCTTTTGTACTGCCTGGCAGTCACACACTTCCTTTGGGCCACCAGGCCTTTAGCTGCGGTATGACCACCTCTCTGAACATGCTATCCACCTTACTCTCAAATGCCTGAATATGCTACAGTAACTCCAGCCGGTGGTCGAGCTCAGAAATCCTTTTTTATTTCTTTCTTTGCAGAGCTTTTCTACCTCTTGGAAGCAATATTTAAACTTGCAATTGTTTGTCACCCGCCAGTTGAAAGTGAAGAATATCATATCCTGTAATTTCTTTCTTTTGAATGATTCTTTCTAACTGTTAATCACCTCCTTCACAGGTGAAATGATGTAAGGGGATATTATTAGCAAATATGCAATCTCCAATGTGTCGACAGGATGGACAATTACATCAGAATGAAGGGAAAAATCATTTTTAAAATTGTGAGGCAATGCAGATTAGTGTTTGAGCAACATCTATCATCTTGAAGAAGTGATTGAAGATCATTTACACACAGGTTTTGCCCAAGGTGTCTTATATATACACTTTATTCTTGCTGCATGTGGAATTTGCTGTTCCCAGTATAAGGAAGCATAGGCACAATTTACCTGGAAACCTCTCAAAGTGTCATTCTAAAGCTGATGTTTTAGCCAAGCAGTTGTAAGCCATTAGCTCCTGTTGCATGTTATCCCAGCATCCCCAGACTACTAGACAGGTAGATAAAGACTTCATTAGTGTCTGGATTGATTCACAAATTTCTTGATAAGTAAGATGTACAAAGTGCTCTTGGGGCATGTTCAGGGCTACAGGCCAGGCAAAATGTGGGGTTGAACATTTTTTTTCTTTATTCGTTCACAGGATCAGGGTGTCACTGGCTAGGCAGCATTTATTGCCCATCTCTAATTGTCCAGAGGGCTGTTAAGAGTCAACCACATTATTATGGGTCTGGAGTCACATGTAGGCTAGACCAGGTAAGGATGGCAGTTTCCTTCCCTAAAGGACATTAGTGAACCAGATGGGTTTTTCCCGACAATTGGCAATGGATTCATGGTCATCATTAGATTCCTAATTCCAGATATTTATTGAATTCAAATTCCACCATCTGCCATGGTGGGATTTGAACCTGGGTCCCCAGAACATTATCTGGGTCTCTGGATTAACAGTTACAGTGATAATACCACTAGGCTATCGCCTCCCCCAAACATAACATTGGGTGGCAATAAAACTAGAAAAGGGACATGGAGTTGCAGTGTTCATCCAAGAATTCTGTACATCACTAAAACATAAAATTATACAGATAATGGTGGAAATGTTGAATCTAGCTGCTTAAAGTTCAGAATACAGCAGGGAACTACAGTTGTCTTGAAAGTTTAGTACAGACTAGCAAGTGTAGGAAAAAGGAATATGAAGATTGTATTGAAACATTTCAGTCTCAATACCTGGGAAAAGTTGGATATTGACTGATTGTAGAGTAATCCAAAATATCACCTAGATTAATACTTTCAAGTCTGATATACGTGATGCAGATATGGCAGTCAGACAGCAAGATCAAGCTTTATTAGCAACTGTGGTGTGCTAAACCCAATTACGCTTTCAGCTTAAATGTTTTTTATTCATTTGTGGGGTATGGGTGTCACTGGCTGGCCAGCATTTATTGCCCATCCTTAACTATCCTTGAGAAGGTGGTGGTGAGCTGCCTTCTTGAACTGCTGCAGTCCTCCTGCTGTAGGTTGACTCACAATGCTATTAGGGAGGGAATTCCGGGATTTTGACCCAGCGACAGTGAAGGAACAGTGATATATTTCCAAGTCAGGATGGTGAATGGCTTGGAGGGGAACTCATGGGTAGTGGTGTTCCCATATATCTGCTGCTCTTGTCCTTCTAGATGGAAGTGGTCGTGGGTTTCAAAGGTGCTACCTGAGGATCTTTGGTGAATTTCTGCAGTGCATCTTGAAGATAGTACACACTGCTGCTACCGAGCATTGGTGGTGGTGGGAGTGGAATCCTTTTCCTGAATGGTGTCAAGCCTCTTGAGTGTTGTTGGAGCTGCAGCCATCCAGGCAAGTGGGGACCACTCCTGACTTGTACCTTGTAGATGATGGACAGGCTTTGGGGAATCAAGAGATGAGTTTCTCACCGCAGTGTTCCTAGCCTCTGACCTGCTCTTGTAGCCACTATTTTTACTTGTCAAGCCTGGATATTGTACAGATCTTGTTGCATTTGAATATAGACTGCTTCAGTAGCTGAGGAGTCATGAATGGTGCTGAACATTGTGCAATCATCAATGAACATCCCCACTTCTGATCTTATGATGGAGGGAAGGTCATTGCTGAAGCATGTGCAGATAGTTGAGCCTGGAACGCTACTCTCAGGAACTCCTGCAGAGATGTCCTGGAGCTGAGGGTGATTGATCTCCAACAACCATAACCATCTTCCTATGTGTCAGGTGTGACTCTAACGCCAGAGGATCTACCCTGGTTCAGTGGAGTGTGGAGGAGGACATGTCAGGAGCAGCACCAGGCATACCTTAAAATGAAACGGTCAACCTGGTGAAGCTACCAAACAGGACTGAGTTATGTGCTAAACAGCATAAGGACCAAATCAAACACAGAGCTAAGCAATTCCACAGCCAATGGATCAGATCTAAACTCTGCAGTCCTGTGACATCCAGTCAGTGAGATTCCACCCCACCGAGACCCATTGATTTCAGTTATGCTTGGGTTCCTTGATGTCATGCTCGCTCGAATACAGCCTTGATGTTGAGGGCTGTCACTCTCACCTCACCTCTGGAATTCAGCTCTTCTATCCTTGTTTGAATCAAGGCTGTAATAAGACCAGAAGCTGAGTGGCCCTGGCAGAATTGAAACTGGCTGTCACCGAGTAGTTATTGCTGAGCAGGTGCTGCTTGATAGCAGTATTCTTGAAACCTTCCATCACTTTATTGATGATCAAGAGTAAACTGATGGGGTGATAATTGGCTGGGTTGGATTTGTCCTGCTTTTTATGTACAGGACATACCTAGGCAATTTTCCACATTGTCGCGTAGATACCAGTATTGTAACTGTACTGGAAGAGCTTGTCTGGGAGAGTGGCATGTTCTGGAGCACAGGTCTTCAGTACAATTGCCAGAATGTTGTCAGGGCCTATAGTCTTTGTAATATCCAGTGTCTCCAACCGTGTCTTGATATCACATGGAGTGAATCGAATTGGCAGAAGACTGGTATCTGAAATGCTGGGGACAACTGGAGGAGGTCGAGATGAATCATCCAATCGGCACTTCTGGCTGAAGTTTGCTGCAAATGCTTCAGCCTTATCTTTTGCACTGATGTGTTGTTGAGTCTATGTGTCTTCTATCATTGAGGATCGGGATATTTGCGGAGCCTCCTTCTCCAGTGAGTTGTTTAATTGTGCACCACCATTCTTGACTGGATGCTGCAGGACTACAGAATTTAGATCTGATCTGTTGGCTGTGGGATTGCTTAGCTCTGTGATTCACTTGCTCCTTATGCTGTTTGGCACATAAGAGAGTCCTGCTTGGTAGCTTCACCAGGTTGACTGTTTCATTTTAAGATATGCCTGGTGCTGCTCCTGGCATGTCCTCCCACATTCTCCATTGAACCAGGGTTGATCCTCTGGCTTGATGGTAATGGTTGAGTGGGGGATATGCCAGGCCATGAGGTTACAGATTGTGCTGGAGTACAATTCTGCTGCTGTGGATGGCCGACAGCACCTCATTGATTCCCAGTATTGAGTTGGGAGGTTTGTTTGAAGTCTGTCCCATTTAGCACAGTGGTAGTGCAACACAACACAATGGAGGTTATTCTCAATATGAAGGTGGGACTTTGCTTCCACAAGGACTGTGCAGTGGTCACTATTACCAATACTGTCATGGACAGATGGATCTGTAGCCAGCAAATTGGTAAGGATGAGGTCGAGTATGTTTTTCCTTCTTGTTGGTTTCCTCACCACCTGTTGCAGACCCAGTCTAGCAGCTGTGCCCTTTAGGATCTGACTAGCTCAATTAGTAATGTTGCTGCAGAGCCACTGTTGGTGGTGGACATCAAAATCCCCCACCCACAGTACATTCTGTGCCCCTGCCATCTTCAGTACTGTCTCCAAGTGTTGTTCAATATGGGGGCGTACTGAGTCATCAGCCAAGAGATGATGGTATGCATTGATCAGCAGGAGATTTACTTGCCCATGTTTAACCTGAAACTATGAGACTTCATGGGGTCTGGAGTCAATGTTGAGAACTCCCAGGGCAATGCTGTTCCATCTGTATATCACAGTGCTGCCACCTCTGCTGAGTGTGTCCTGCCAATAGGACAGTACATTTCCAGAGATGGTCACGGCAGTGTCTTGGACATTGTCTGTAAGGTATGATTCTGTGAGTATGACTATGTCAGGCTGTTGCTTGACTAGTCTGTGAGACAGCTGTCCCAATTTTGGCAGTAGCCCCCAGATGTTAGTGAGGAGGAGTTTGAAGGGTTGACAGGGCTATTTCTGCTGTTGTCTTTTCTGGTCCCTAGGTCAATGCCAGGTGATCCGTCTGGTTTCATTTCTTTGAGACTTTGTAGCAATTGATACTACTGAATGACTTGCTCAGCTATTTTAGAGGGCAATTGAGAGTCAACCACATTGTTTTGGGTCTAGAGTCACGTGTAGCCTAGACCAGTTCAGGATGGCAGATTTCCTTCCCTGAAGGACATTAGTGAACAACAGGCAAACAGAAAATTAAAATCTAAATAAAAAGAAAGAATTAATAGTTTATTTCTACGGTGCATTTTTGTGCGATATTTGCCATACATACTTGGAGCATTGTATGCAGTTTGTTTCACCGTATTATAAAAAGGATAACAAGGCACTCAACATGCTACAAGAATGATTTAGAATGAGGGTATCAGAACTGTGTGGCGTTCTTTTCAAGAAAGAATGAACGGACTGTGTCTGTATTCTGTTGAAAAGATGTTAGAGGTCTTGAAGAGAATGAAAGGTTTTGATGGATTATACAGAGAGAATGTTTCCACTGTGGGCAAGAGTTAGACAGATGAAAAGAGGCTCAAATGGAACATAAGTGCTAGTATAGACTGGTTGGACCATATGGCCATTTTCTGTGGTATATATTCAATAAAAATTAATTTTGTATTGCTCTCCCCAGCTCTAAGCCTCTTTTTCTCAATGTCTTGTCAACCCCAAACTGAAGCCCAGACTACAGTCTGGAATCAATGCTTTGGATCATCATAGAGTTCCTAAGCCTCGTGATTTGGTAACACTAAGAATATTGCTTTACTGTCTGCACTATCTTTGTACTTTACTCATGATAATTTTACTAGTATTATGCTGCTAGCTCTTATAAAGATTTGTTTGTGCCCACTGCATTTTTATTTGACATTATTGTGCAAACATTAACCTTGGTACCTGCATATTAATGAAACTTTTTTCTATTCCCGAAGGGCAACCGTCTGTTTTCTTGGTAGCAGTTTTGTTGGTTCCAATCGCCTGTGTCATGTTGAATTTTCTGAATCAGCAAGAATCTGAAGTTGTGGAAAATAAACTCAACATATTCTTGCACAATTTTGGCAAAGTGCAGAAGAGTTTTCCAAATCAGGATGAACAGTTGTGGAAAAAAAGCAAGATAATGTTGCAGAAACACATTAACATGACCATCCATTCTGAGCCATCCATTTTAATGTTTGCAGCTGCTTGGAATGCAAATGAAACCATGCATTGCCTCACAGGCAGAATCGCTGGAGCTTACGCTTCAGCTTTCAATTCCAGGTTTCTGGAAATTGAAGGATCGAGTAAAAAGTTTTTAAACAGTGATGAAGTGAAGCTAGATCTAGATAATCAACTAATGTCTTGGTTTGGTTCGGGTGGAAAATCAGCTGTTATTCATCACTTCCAAGATCTGCCACCCCCATCTACTCTTCTTTTCTACAAATATTGTGATCATGAAAATGCAGCCTTCAAGGATGTATCCCTCTTAATCACAATTTTAGTGGATGAGGAAAAATTAGACCCAAATTTAAACTTTGGTCTTCTGGAAGAAAGAGTCTATGATTTTCTTGTGACAAAATTTTCTATCTCCAGTCAGACCGGGCAATATAATATCCTGGATATTGACAAATTCAGTGGATTGTGGAGTCGCATTGCACATGTCATATTGCCTGTCCAACCTGAAAAACATATTGAAGAGAATGGCTGTAAACATACGTGAACATTCTGAGGAGGCATCACAAAATTTGCACTGAATTTTATCAAAGAAACAAATTACATGCACAGAGAACTCATAAGTCTTGAAAAGGAAATTTATTTTGTTAATTAATTACCTAGAATTTGATTTTGTGAATTTTGCTCAAGGAGATCTCATCTGAATTTTTAAAGATTTTTGATTCATATGCTGACTGGCTTTCTGTATGTTCCGCATTTTCTGTTTTTATTTCAGGTTTCCAGCATCTAGTGTTACAGCTTTCTTCAATTATCACAAATAAATTTATCTCCTGATAGCTAGAAAATGATATTGCAACTGAATAAATGATGATGGTTTAAACTTTGCTATGTAAACTTAAGTATATTTTAAAAACTAATTTGCTATTGTATAATTTAAATCTGTAACTGAATAAAGAAGCTGACTGTCAAATAGTGGTGATAGAGTAGTTGTGTAAATACACTGCAACATTAATAGAGAGTAAAAGATGCAAATTTGCTAGGCATGGGAATATTTTGGTAATTATAGGTATTTCTCAAATTGAAATTTAGTTTAAATTTAACATGGAATTTTAAAACTGAACATTTGTTAGTTAACAAATTGCAGATCAATTGATCGAGTGCATGAATAGATCATTAGTATGCTAACTGGTATGGGCTGAATTTTCTCACTTTCAACTAATTTTATCAACTCACATTCATGGTGCTGTTTGCCATGGCTTCTGGTGACTTTTCTTATGCAATCTTTCACTCTTTAATTATGTATCTGGGCCCTGTGTAATTATGCAGCAGGAGAGGCAGAAGTGATTGTCGCTGCCAGGGCCTTCTAATGTTTGCTGTGCTGGCACCATTTTAAAGACCAGCTATATACCATTGCACGTGCTGTGAACAAGCCAGGAACTACTTTTCATGTGGGGATTGTGCAACATTATCTTCAAGGAAATGACCGAGAAAGGCAAGTTATCTCCTCAGTTCGCCAACAGGGACCTGGAGGTGCTGGTGGACAGGGTGGTGGAGAGGACAGCAGGATTGTATCTTGTTGATTGGTAAAGGAAGCCACACCACTAGTCACAGCCAGCCTGGACCTAGATTGCAGCTCAGGTCAGTGTAGTGTGCCAGTGAATTGCAATCACAACAGTTTAAAAAGGTTAATTATCTTCATTACACTAAAAGGGTAAGTGCCACCAACTACTCTCTGCTATCTTATACTCACAGGGCCATCACTCATTACAATTCTGCCATTACACATGCCTTTTAACAAGTCTCATGGACTACAACTTTACTGCATGCATTGTATTCCCTAATCAACTATCCCCCCCGGCAACTTCATCCTCCCAAATTAAAGATCCTTCCTGCCCTTTGAGTTTCACATTCACTCACTGGTGACACCGAACATCACAGCTAACTGATATTCCATTCATCTTCTTCATACTCTGTTCCTCATCTTGTCTCTCTGCAGGAAAATTTGGCTCACAACTGGGCTGAGTCGGGCAAGTCTGGTGCGGAATGGTTGATACAGGACTCATAATGGCAAATGAGGAAAATCTATTGGATTTCACTGGAGAAGAGTGTGACTGCTCATGTCGGGTTGGGGATATTTCCATGGCCAACCAACCCACTCAGGTCCATTGCATTGCTCTTCCATTACCACCAACGTTAATTCATTAAGCTGCACAAGTGCTTACCTGTCTTACACTATTAGTTCTATCTCTTCTCTGCAATCACAAGCAGGATTCAGCAAAACTCAATTAAGACACGAATGTTGGAGACTCTCAGGTAAACCTACACTTCTGAGGCAGAAGCCAGTCATGGATGCATTGGCAAGGTTTTCATCTGCACTCTCCACCAGCCGAGGGATTTTCACCTTGGTGGATTCTCTTTCTAGATTGTACTTCTGAGTCTAATGTGATGAGTACATTACTCAGGTATCTTCACAATTGGTCAAGGAAGAAACAACCCGACACCTGCTCAGTCTCAAGCAGAAGGTAATCCCATAGCCTCGGCTGTTAATGACCTTGTCAAAATACTTAGGCACAGCAACAGCAGGCAGGTTTGTCAGAAGCAGTCAGTAACCTGGACTGAAGGATGGATGAGGCCACCGAGATTATCAGTACTGTGCGGGCTCCATCATGCATGTGTCTGCCTGTCTGCATGGAGAGGCTGGAAAATGACATGAAAAATTAGTATAGCACACGACCAGATGTGTCCATGTCCCTGCACTTCAATGTAGTAGCCATCAATGCCAGAGCAACAGGGATACAAGGGACAACAATCTCACTCCAGGTTCTCCGTCTTTGTGTCTTATTGGCAAGGAATAAAAGTGATTTTAAGAAAGACGCACAGGTTACATCTTAAGGTTCAGCAGAATAGTCAGAGAATAAAGTCATATTAAAAACATTAAGGAACATATTTGGTGGGACAATATCTGGAATTGGGGAGTACTTTATACACAGTCACTTGGATTTGCATTATTTCACATCTTGTTGTTATTGTTTGTTGTACTTGGATATATCTTATTTTTATTACTGTTATGATTTGCTGTTGGTGTTAGCAACAAATGCAGCAGCTAAAAATGTAATTAACTCAGTTAAGATGTGATAATCTTAAAACTGCAACAGGTGTAATTTCACACTAATAGCTTATTTTCTTTATTGGCATACTGGTTAATTATACTGCTGTTTGTTCATCATCATAAAAAAAATGAACAAATACAAAGGATGAAACATCAGAATTTAATAACCTTTCAAGGATTGAAAGAACTGGCAATAATTTTCTTCTGGAATAAACTGTTTCCTATGATAAAAGGACACTGCTATAAACTGTTATAAAGGAATTGAAAGCAATTAAGCATCCCTGGGAATAAGGAGTCAAAGCAACATTAACAAATTGTTTCCTGGGAGAGAGGAGGTAACAACTGCCTGATAACTGGCTGCCTTGTGACAAATGGGCAATTAAGATTACATGCATAAGAACTGAAGGAGTTAATGGTAGGACAGGCTTTGTTTCGAACTGACAGCTAACAGCAAACGAAACAAAAAAGAGAATCTACTCCTGATAAGAAAGCAGGCCATGGACTTGATGACTTCAGAAGTGTCACAAATAATGTCACACCACAGCTTAATAAGGCAGAAAATCCTTTAAGAAATCGATTTTAGGATTCTATGGCAGCAGAACTCCGAAGAATCATACTGCACAAGGATCGAATCCTGGAATATTCAGAGACAAATGCCGTTGGTTGGTATTGTAGCTGAATTTTACCTTTAATCCGATAATAGCTAAATTGGGCTTAATGTGTTGAGGAGCTTTAATTTTGGAGATAGTAGGAACTGCTGATGCTGGACAATCTGAGATAACAAGATGCCGAGCTGGACGAACACAGCAGGCCAAGCAGCATCAGAGGAGCAGGAAGGCTGACGTTTCGGGCCCAGACCCTTCTTCAGAAATGGGGGAGGGGAAGGGGGTTCTGAAATAAATAGGGAGAGAGGGGGAGGCGGATAGAAGATGGATAGAGGAGAAGATAGGTGGAGAGGAGACAGACAAGTCTAAGAGGCGGGGATGGAGCCAGTAGAGGTGAGTGTAGGTGGGGAGGTAGGGAGGGGATAGGTCAGTCCAGGGAGGATGGACAGGTCAAGGGGGCAGGATGAAATTAGTAGGTAGGAGATGGGGGTGGGAGGAGGGGATAGGTGGGAGGAAGGACAGTTTAGGGAGGCGGGGACGAGCTGGGCTGGTTTTGGGATGCGGTAGGGGGAAGGGAGATATTGAAGCTTGTGAAATCCACATTGATACCATTGGGCTGCAGCGTTCCCAAGCGGAATATGAGTTGCTGTTCCTGCAACCTTCAGGTAGCATCGTTGTGGCATTGCAGGAGGCCCAGGATGGACATGTCGTCTGAGGAATGGGAGGGGGAGTTGAAATGGTTTGCGACTGGGAGGTGCAGTTGTTTAATGCGGACCGAGCGTAGGTGTTCTGCAAAGTGGTCCCCAAGCCTCTGCTTGGTTTCCCCGATGTAGAGGAGGCCACAACGGGAACAGCAGATGCAGTATACCACATTAGCGGATGTGCAGGTGAACATCTGCTTTATGTGGAAAGTCTTCTTGGGGCCTGGGATGGGGGTGAGGGAGGAGGTGTAGAGGCAGGTGTAGCACTTCCTGCGATTGCAGGGAAAAGTGCTGGGTGTGGTGGGGCTGGAGGGGAGTGTGGAGCGGACAAGGGAGTCCCGGAGAGAGTGGTCCCTCCAGAAAGCAGATAAGGGTGGGGTCGGATTGCAGATGGCGGAAGTGTCGGAGGATGATACGTTGGATCCGGAGGTTGGTGGGGTGGTACATGAGGATGAGGGGGATTCTGTTTTGGTTGTTATTGCGGGGAGGGAGGTGAGGGATGAGTTGCGGGAAATGCGGGAGACACGGTCGAGGGCATTCTTGACCACTGAGGGGGGGACTTTGCAGTCCTTGAAAAACGAGGACATCTGAGATGTACGGGAGTGGAATGCCTCATCCTGGGAGCAGATGCGGCGGAGGCGAAGGAATTGGGAATAGGGGATAGCATTTTTGCAGGAAGGTGGGTGGGAGGAGGTGTATTCTAGGTAGCTGTGGGAGTTGGTGGGCTTGAAATGGTTTGTAGGCGGTTGCCAGAGATGGAGACAGAGAGGTCCAGGAAGGAGAGAGAGGTATTGGAAATGGTCCAGGTGAACTTAAGGTTGGGGTGAAGGTGTTGGTGAGGTGGATGAACTGTTCGAGCTCCTCGTGGGAGCACGAGGCAGCGCCGATACAATCATCAATGTAACGGAGAAAGAGGTGGGGTTTAGGGCCAGTGTAGGTACGGAAGAGGGATTGTTCCACGTAACCTACAAAGAGGCAGGCGTAGCTTGTGGCCCATGCGGGTACCCATGGCCACCCCCTTTGTCTGTAGGAAGTGGGAGGAATTAAAAGAGAAGTTGTTGAGGGTGAGGACAAGTTCGGCTAGGCGGATGAGGGTGTCAGTGGAGGGGGACTGGTCGGGCCTGCGGGACAGGAAGAAGTGGAGGGCCTTTAGGCCATCTGTATGGGGAATGCAGGTGTATAGGGACTGGACGTCCATGGTAAAGATGAGGTGTTGGGGACCGGGGAACTGGAAGTTCTGGAGGAGGTGGAGGGCATGGGTGGTGTCACGGACGTAGGTAGGGAGTTCCTGGACCAAGGGGGAGAAAATGGAGTCGAGATAGGTGGAGATAAGTTTGGTGGGGCAGGAGCAGGCGGAGACAATGGGTCGACCAGGGTAGTCAGGTTTGTGGATTTTGGGACGGAGATAGAAGCAGGCAGTGCGGGGTTGGGGAACGATGAGGTTGGAGGCTGTGGGTGGAAGGTCACCTGAGGTGACTAATAGAGCTTTAATTTTGGTTGCTACATGCAATAAAGTTTAAATATTTGATAGTCTGTGGGATTTCTTAACAAGTAGTCGAATTAAAGGTAGCTTGTAGAATTTACAAACCATGCAAGACAAGTTTGCAAACTGGATCTGAAATTGGCTTGCAAATAGGAGGAAAAGGGTGATGTCGAAGGGTTGTTTTTTTGTGATCGGAAGCCTGTGACCAACAGTGCACCACCGGGATTGGTAGTGGGACCTTTGCTGTTAGTTATGTACATTACTGACTTAGATGTGAATGGCGAAGGTTTAATTAGTAAGTTTGCAGACGATGGGAAAATTGGTTGTGTTGTTGATACTGAAGAGGATAGTCTCAGGTTACAGTCTAGTATCTGTGCGAGATGCTGCATTTTGGGATGTCTAATAACAGGACATACACAATGAATGATAGGTTCCTAGACAATATTGAGGAACAAAGGGACCTTGGTGTACAGGTCCATAGATCCCTGACGGTGTCAGTATAGGTAGACAAGAAGCCATGCAGGATGTTTGTCTTCATTAGCCAGGGAGTAGAATATAGGAGCAAGGAAGTTAATATATTATAAAACATTGGTCAGGCCACAGATGGTATACTGAGTGCAATTCTAGTTGCCACGATATTAGAGGACAGTGGTTCAATGTTTCAAGAAGGATGGTAGGGATAAACCAGGAAATTACAGACCAGTGAGTCTCATATCAGTGGTAGGGAAACTAATAGAGAAAATTCTAAAGGAGAGAATTAATCTCTACTTGCAGAGGCTAGGTTTGATGATCTAGGATAGTCACATGGTTTCATCAGAGGGAGGTCATGCCTAACATGTTGAGAAGCAAGCCTAGAAGATCAGGTGAGATTCATATTTTTCATCCATAGCAGTAAGGACGGGGGAATGGTTCAACAATTTCTAACGGCAATTGTTCCCATTTTGTTTTGTGTGTACTTTGCGGATTGATTTAATGCTCTTCCAACGATAACCTAAGGCTCTTTTTGCCTATTACGCTTTCAGCTTCTCCCAGTTCCGACAAAAAGTCTCCAGCTACCTGAAACATTCATTTATCGCCCGTTTTCTCTCTCTCTCCCCTGGCAGGTGGGCTTATTATTTGCAGCTTTATTTTCTGCTCATATTAGGGCCAAGATAAAGGGGCGTTCTTGACATTCGCGGTGTCGGGTAGAAAAAAGATTGAAGACATTAATCTACGCAAGCAGTCACTTTGAAGAGTTCAGGAGCCTGCCTACAAATGTGGAATCTCTCTGTAAAGTTCAATTTGACATTGTACTACTTCAATCGGGGGCACTGGCAGTGGTGAAAAGCACCCAGATGCGTCTTTTTATTCTTTCAGATCTATTATCGCACACAAATACGGGAGTAGTTTTCAATAAAGTCCTTTTGCTTGAAAAGGACAATTTCAGCCGGCGGCCCGTTTAACGGTTTTCAGAACTTGCAGCTCGCGGCGTCAATTCAAATATTTGAACACTAACGGTTAACATTGTTATTTTCTCGACGCAAGAACAGAGAGACATCTTCCCGACGACTGTTAAAATACTGAAAGGAGAATACCAGTACAAGAGGGTGGTATCAAGGAACTGAAATGAAAGACCGACCGGTACATTTTAAATGTGAAAGCCTCACACCACCAGTAAACGCCAAGAAGGCGGGGACTTATCCGACCGGAAACTACTCTATAAGTAAAAAGCGGAAGTTATGTTTGCCCTGTAATCCGTCCGTCCGGAATCAGATCCGGTGTGACGGCGGAGTGCTTCGTGTGTTGTCCGGAGGGAAACGTTAACAACGCGGAAAAGATCGGCGGAGGAGTGGTTCTTCAACGGGGTTGAACGATAGTGAAAGAATCCAAAATGAGCGTGAGATTTACGAGAAGTACCAGTGCCCGAGTCAAGGATTTAAGAGGTGAGAGTGGGAGAAAAAAGTGGGCATGTGTGTACGGAGTGTTCTTTTTTTAATTAGTTAAGCGAGATTGTGTGAATCTAATCGTCAAGGGGATTTGCTCAGTCTGAGAATAGAAACCGGAAACGATTCAGACTCAATTCATGTTGTAAATATCAGTGTACAAAATCCAGAGACGCTTCCCTTTAGTCCAAGTTAACAAGGTTGAGATTATTTTGTGTCTGCTTAATAAATTGGGTGGAGAGTAACTGGTTTCCTGAGGGTGAGCTATCGCAAGTGTTTAAAACATGGTACTTCCTTTTTTTCATTCTCTCTCCAAGACAGTGACTGCCTGGAGCTCAGATTGACTGTCATCTCATGTGGGCCTCGAAGACTCTGGCAATGGTTATTAGTGTGAATTTAAATACAGATTAGAGCTCTGTTAAAACAGATTATCGTAGCCGAAGGAGATTACTGTATCCAAAGCTGCTACGGCAGGAGAATGAGGTGACATTTTAAACGCCACAGTCATTTATTTCCAAATATACATAAAAGTACCCTGTGTAAATATTGGATTAAAAGCACAGTCTTGCATCGAAAATTTGCTTTGTCAATTAAGATTTTTTTTTTTGCCTTGCTTATGTAATTGCTAAATATAAGTTGATGTTTGCAAACTGAAAGAACTGCGGATGCTGTAAATCAGAAACAATAACAGAAATGATTGGAAAAGCTCAGCAGGTCTGGCAGCATCTGTGGAGAGAAATCAGAGTTAACATTTCGGGTCCGGTGACCCTTCCTCAGAACATGTTCAATTTGATTTGGGCAGTTAACAATAAGCAATTGCATTGTAGTTGTTAATGTGAGCAACCACTTTTAGGAAGTATTATTCGAGAAGTAAACTATCTAAACACCACCTTATCGTTCTCTTAATAAATAAGACAATGACATGAATTAACAGGTTGTTTGTCTACTTTTTTTTTGTATTCACTCATGGAACGTGGACATTGCTGGCTGGCCAGCATTTACTGACCATCTCCAGTTGCCTCCTTGAGAAGGTAATGGTGACCTGCCTTCTTGAACTGCTGCAGTCCATGAGTTGTAGGGAGACCCACAATGTCCTGTAAGGAGGGAATTCTAGATTTTGACCCAGCAGCTGTAAAGGATTGGGGACATATTTCCAAGTCAGGATGGTGAGTGCCTTGGGGGAGTGGGGTAGATCTTGAAGGTGGTGGTGTTCCCGTGTATTTTGGCACCTTTTCCCCTTCTAGATGGCGAGTGGTCGTGAGTTTGGAAGGTGCTATCTAAGGATCTTTCATGAATTTAACAATGCATTTTGTACACAGTACACACTGTTGCTACCGAGTGTGGATGGAGTGGATGCTTGTGAAAGTGGTGCCAATCAAGCGGACTATTTGTCCTGGGTAATGTCAAGCTTCTTGAGTGTTATTGGAGCTGCACGCAACACTCCTGACTAGTGCTTTGTAAATGGTGGATAGGCTTTGGGGAGTCAGGAGGTAAGTTACTCACTGCAGCCTCTGCCCTGCTCTTGGAGCCACTATATTTATGTGGTGAGTCCAGTTAAGTTTCTAGTTAATAGCAAACCCTAGGGTGTTGATGGTGGAGAATTCAGTGATGGTAACACCGTTGAATGTAATGGGGTGGTGATTAGATTCTCTCTTTTTTTGGAGATGGCCATAGCCTGGCATTTTTGTGGTGAAAATTTTACTTGCCACTTGTCAGCCCAAGCCTAGATGTTGTCCAGATCCTGTTACATTTGAACATGGACGGCTTCAATATCTGATGAGTCATGAATTGCACTGAAGATCGTGTAATCATTGGCAAACATCTCCACATCTGACCTAATGATGGAGGGAAGGCCATTGATGAAGCAACTGAAGATGGTTGGGCCTAGGAGACTACCTTGAGGAACTCTTGCTGAGATGACTGACCTCTCAACAACTACAACCATCTTTCTATGTGCCAGGTATCACTCCAACCAGTGGAGAGTTTGCTCCTTGATTTTACTATGACTCCTTGATGCCATGCTCGGTCGAATGCAGCCCCGATGTCAGGGGCTGTCACTCTTACCTCACCTCTGGAACTCAGCTCTTTTGTCTATGTTTGAACTAAGGCTGTAATGAGGTTGGGGGATGAGTGGCCCTGGTGAAACCCAAACTGGGCATCACTGAGTAGGTGCTGCTTGACAGCACTATGGATGACACCTTCCATCACTTCACTGATGATCAAGAGTAGGCTGATGAGGTGATGATTGGCTGGATTGGATTTGGCCTGCTTTTATGTGTAAAGAGCATACCTTGTCAATTTTACACATTATTGGGTAGATGCAAGTGCTACAGCCATACTGGAACAGCTTGTCTAGGGGACCAGCAAGTTCTGAAGCAGAGGTCTTTGGTACTCTTGCCAGGATGTTGTCAGGACCCATAGCACTTGCAATATCATGTGGGGTGAACTGAATTGGCTGAAGACTAGTATCCGTCTTGCTAGGGACCACTGGAGGAGGCTGAGATGGATCAACCACTCGGCACTTCCGGCTGAAGATTGCTGGGAATGCTTCAGCCTTGTCTTTTGCATTGATGTGCTGGGCTGTTCCATCGTTGAAGATGGGGATATTTGTGGAGTCTCCTCCTCCAGTGAGTTGTTTAATTGGCCACTACCATTCATGGCTGAATGTGGAAGAATTGTAAAACCTAAAGCTGATCCATTGGTTGTGGGATCGCTTGGCTCTATCTATCACTTGCTGCTTATGCTGTTAGACACAAGTAGACCTGTATGGTAGCTTCACTTCAGGCACAGCAGGTAAGGGGACAACTGTGAGAAAGGAGGCAGTCAATGCAGGACTAAGGGTGTTGTCCTTTAAATGGATGCAGTGTACAAAATGAGCTTTCAGTGCAGATTGAAATTGGTATGTGTGATGTGGGTATCACATACATGGCTGCAAGGGGATTAAGGGAGGAAATAAATATCCAAAGATATGCATCCTATCAAAAAACCAGGCAGAGGGGACAGAGCTGCCTTCTTAGTAAGAAATAAAATTAAATCGAAAGCAAGAAGTAATTATAAGGTTGGAAGGCACAGAATCTGTGTGGGTAGAGTTGAGGAACTGCAAAAGAAAAATGACCCTGATTTTTGTACAGGCCTCATAGGAGTAGTCAGAATGTGGGGTAGTGTATGCACCAGGAGATAGTAAAGGCATGTAAGAAAGGGACTATTAGAATAATTATGGGGACTTCAGTATATAGATGGACTGAGAAAACCATTTTGGTGGTGAATCCAAAGGAAAGGAATTTGTGGAATGTTGACGAGATGGTTTCCTTTTTTGGAACAGCATGTGGTAGAGCTCACTAGGGAATAGAACTGGAGTTGATTTGTAAGTTTCTGGCTAAGGAACCCCTAGAGGACAGTGACCACAACATGACACATCCAGCAATTTGAGAGGGAGAAGATGGAATAGTATTACAATAGAGTAAAGGCAACTACAAAGTCATGATGGAGGAATTGGCCAGAAATGATTGGAAGCCTCACAGGGAAGACATCAGAGCAGCAATGGCAAGAGTTTTTGGGGCTGACTCAGGAGGTACAGCAGAAATTCATTCCAAAGAAGAAGAAATATACTCTGGAGGATGTGGCAAGCGTGGCTGACAAAGGATGTTAAGGGCAGCATAAAAGCAAAAGAAAAAGTAAGATTTAATGGAAAGCCAGAGGATTAGGAAGCCTTTAAAAACCAACAGAAGATAATGCAAAAACAGTAAGGGGAAAGAAGATAAAATAGGAGGGTAAGCTAGCTAGAAATGTAAAAGAAGATTGCAAGTTTTTTTTAGATATATAAGCGGTAAGAGAGGGGCAAGAGTGGACATTGGACCATTGGAAAATGAGAAACAGTAATGGGGGACAAAGAAATGGCAGAGGAACTGAATTGGTACTTTGCATCGATTGTCACAGTGGAAGACATCAGTAACATACCAGAACTTCAAGAGATTCGGGAAGAGAGGTGGGTGTAGTGGCCATCACTGAAGAGTAGGTGCTGGGGAAGCTGAAGGCAGATAAATCACCTCGACCAGATAGACTACACCCAAGCGTTCTGAAGGAGACCATTCAAAATTAGTATTTGGTTGCTTAGGTGTCCAAATTTAAAATTGCTGCCAAGAATGCTAAGCTTTTGACTTTCCCAATGCCATTTTCCCCTCCACCAAGTGAATATTTGGCCCATTCATTCCTTCCCCTCTCTTGAGCTGGTGCATTGATACCAATTGTAGCCCTATTCCAGTCAACTGCTCAGCTAGCTTCATCCTTTTGTAGCTTTCTCCCTCAAAACAAAGCGGTAGTATCCATTTACTTGAAGACGTTTCAGCCTCTTTTGTTTTAGGTTTGCCAAAACACAGTTGAGTGATGCCAAACCATGAGATAGTGCAAGCTATAGAAAACCACTGCCCAGCATCGTGTGTTCAAATTCCTCCCATTTTGATTCTGCCCCCAGCATTCGATTAGCCCTTCACTTGGCCCTCTCTGCCACACTCAACCTCACCTCCAACCCCAGTACTTGATCTTCCCCTGCATTGGACTAGCCCCTTCTCCAGCCTGGGGTGCTGAACAACTCTTCCCCCGGCCATGTGTAGTTAGAAAGACGTTAACCCTGATTTCTGTCCACAGTTGCTGCTGAGCTTTCCCAGCAATTTCTGTTTTTGTTTGATTTACAGCATCCGCAGTTCTTTTCGGTTTTTATTTGAACTGAATCATTGCTAAGTATTCCGCAGACGCTGTCAGCTATGATACAAGCTAGGGTAGTACCTGGCTGTTAGAATCCCGATCAGTCCTGGGCTAAACAGAGAAGTCTGTGTTATCCAGCAGTCCTCGCAGAACAAACAAGCAAAGCCAGTGCCTTCACCCACCTCCCTAACACTAACTTCATATGTTGTATTTGCAGTTGATCCACAAACTGTGATTTGGTTTAGCATTATTTATGCAGTGACATCAGCCCAAACAGTAAACAGTTGATCTCGGTGAATGCTAGTTAGTTTTTGTTAAGGAACAGGAACAGTTACAAATGTACTGCCATTTATAGACACTATGTTCCAAACAGGATCCTCCAGAGAGAAGAGTTATGCTGGAATAAAAGTGACATCGCGTTCTCCAATAAAGAACCAGAGAAAAAGAAACGTCGGTAAGATGCTTTAATTATGTGTGACCCATTTGCCTGTTGTCACAAGTTTAGAGACTTGGAAGTTTGGGACAAACTGCAGTTACCAAAACTCTAAGCATTATTTAGGAACTGAACAGATTTGAAGTACTTTCTGCTCCTTGGTTGTTTTCTTTTCTGCAGAGTGGGAAGGTGAGAAAATTGTTCCCACTTAGGTAACTTGAAGAAAATGGACATTTTGATTCAAGCAATTGTGGATCCAAATTATATTAAATTCAATACTGATGGACCGCAGTATATTTGCTACATTTCCAACATTAATAAGGTTAGAAATCTGCTTTGTTGGTATATAACTGGAGTGATCATGATTTAAGATATCTGATATTTGAGTTTTCTCTTCTGATCCAAAATATTTAAGGCCTTTTTGGTACAGCAAAAGCCCTGTATTACAGATTGATCTTCCTACAATGGAAATGTTTTGTGAGAGTACAAATTCCTCAGGTAATTTTAACAAAAATTACCAATGGGGAACCCCATGATATTGGATGGAATATTAATTTCCATCCCACCTACTATTGCTGTACATTGACAAGTGTTGTATCCAAACTTGTCAGTTTCTTAACTGACATTAAATTGCCCCCAATCCTTTTGTCTAAGGCTGAGCATGCCAATTTTGTTTTCAAAGTGTGTGGTGATGGGTAGTATGGTGTGTGTAACACCACTCACCACCACGAGCAGGAAAGCCAACTGGATCTCATGCCTATCAGGCACCTCGCATTCGTCAGATAGGCTTCTTGGTTCATCACTCCTGGGACAGCAATGTCTCGCTCCATCTGAAGTTGCTGACTAATGGGACACTGGCTGCCCCAGTGAGTAGCAGTGTTGCTTCAGGTGCTGAGACTCCTGGTGACAGAGCAGTAGGCAAGATGAATTTTTGGTGCAGCAGACAATGCTCTATTTTACCAGTTGGGAAGGCTGCAGTCTTTCTTGCGATGACCACTTAATTGCAGCAATAGTGTGAAGATGCTCTTAAATGGATGCTAATTGACCCTTTATGACCCTGTGATAGCAGCAAGATGATGGTTATTTCTCCAACACCAACTGGAATATTTATCTTCCGTTCCCAACACCTATCCTGCTGCTGCTTAAGAGAGAAGGTTCTGCCTTATCATTGTATGCAGCCATGATTTGTGATTAAACAGGATTATTTATTTCAGGCAATTTATGGGTGGCCTAGCATTGTAACATTTGGGACAAATTATTTATAATGCTGATTAGGTGGGACCTCAGGTGGAACTGTCAGCAATTGAGGACGTTTCCATATTTTGTCCATTTTCAGACAGTGGGGGTGTTGTGGTGTGTATATGCATATGGGGTGGGAAGGAGGCAGCTAATGTGAAAACCTATGTTGTCTCATTTTATTCACTCTCTTTTTCGCCTGGAAGTAAGTCTATTTGTCATGTGTATGAGCAAGGATAAAGAGTAAAATGAAAAAAATTGAAAGAAATCTGTTTTTCTCTGGTTGTGATGCAAGTGATTCCCTTTCAGATTCTGATTATGGAATGAAATCAGAATCACCAGAACCTCCAAAGAAATCTCCTAAAGGTATGTTCTTTCTAATTCAATTTCTTTTAAACTTTGGAGGTTTGGTATTGTCATTACTAACTCAGTGAGCAGATAATCGGTCCCCAAGCTGAAGAAAACTATGAGCTCCCCACACAATTAACTTCACTTGCAATTATCTTACCATGAATGGATCATCTTCATTAAATCAACCTTGCAGTTCAAGTTATGTAAAATAGTAATTTCTGTGGCTTTTTTTTTTCCAAGTTCAGCGTCAGAAGTGATTCTAACACTCGCCATGAGCTTCTACTACCTTTTTCATCTGGTCGCACAACTAAAGGGGTAGCAAGTAAATTGCTGTGTTGTCTTGAACAGAAGGAGGGAGGCTGTTAAATGTGGAGGCACCCCTGCTCCAGCTGACTATGAAGATTTGAAACAAACAAAAACAGAAATTACGAGAGAAACTCGGCAGGTCTGGCAATATCTGTGGAGATGAAACAGAGTTATTATTTTGAGTCCTACTACCCTTCAGAACAATAGTGCATCATGTGGATTCATCATGACTAGTGCAATTTGTTGCCCAGCAGCCCTTTGGCTTTGTTTTGCCATTATGCTCAGTCCTCATAGATATTCTATTCTTCTGTTTCCCTATTTGATCATCCCTAAGATAGACAAGAGCTACTGCACTGCTCCTCTGTCTTGACAGTACTAGTTTTGTGCCTACTCTTGGTGTGTGACATTTTGCAGATTATTACCTACCTCCAGGTGAGCAAGGGCTTAAAATCTGTGGGAATCACTGATGATTTTACGGTAGTTTGGTCTACTTGTAATACTGGCTGTTCCTTTTCAGCTACTGATTCAGGACATGCGTCAAGTTCAGAATTACCAGAATCTCAGAAGAAGTCTCTTAAAGGTATTTCTTTTCTGATAGTTCACTTCTAATTTTACAGGGTTTTCAATGCCACACTAGCTGAGTGAGCTTTCCCTTTGCCCTGTGCTGATCAACAGCAGTTATAAAGATTTGCTTAGGTTGCCCTGGGTTACCAGTTCTTACTCTGAACTGCATCCTGAACCCACAACAGAAGAAGGTCCAAGTCTCTGGACAGCACCTTCTTACAGTCTACAGCAGATACCCATCAACTACTGAACACAACAAGAAGTCTGTATCTTAACCCACTGGCACTTTGCAGCTGCTTTACAGCAAAGCTATGTAACTTGTGAATTTTGAAAGTAATATGAGTTACTTGCAACTGAAGCTCCTTTCCACGGTAAATGCTGTGCAGAGTTTGCAAATTTTTAAATTCAAAACAGTCGTTGGATTAGCAAACCAAAAATCACACAAAAAGCTGATTCTCTCGTCAAGACATTTGGCTGTGCTGGACCACCAGATTTTCTAGGTGTAGCAGGAGACCATTCAACCCTTTCAGCCTCTCCTGCCATTTACTAAATTACAGGCTGGCGTATATCTTCATTCCACCTAGCCACCTTGGTTCCATTACCTTAATATCCCTGCCTAACAAAAAAATAAAATCTTACCAATCCATTTGTGAACACATAGTGGCCCATGTATTTACTGCAGAAGGTTTGCGAGCAGATTTGAGGAGTTTTTGTTTGGACACCTGAATGTTTGTTTGTTTTCCTCCTTGCTGTGATTTTTTTTTAATGACTTTCACTTTTTGGTTTTGTATCTACTTATTTAATGGTCTAATCAGTTTATATCTTTTGCCGTTTATTTTAAGGTAGGTTCTCTGCTCGGAGACAGCCCCAAGAAAATCGAGATGATCATTCTGTTCCTGTTAAAGGCGATCTGGAGTTACGGTCTAACACAGGTAGGGCTTATTTCAGAGTCCCTTAAGTATTTTATCTTTTGTTTTGTTGATTTTTGTTCTTGTAAATTTGGCGAATCTGCAGACGTCGTCTTTATACACCGTTCTCAAATACTAATTCTCAGCATCTAGTTCATAATCTGTTGCTCGCACCTACAGTGTGCCATCTGACCAAGAAACAAACATGATGTCAAATTCCTGCTGGTGAATGAGAGAAGTGGCTTGAAGATCCCTAAATTATTTTATCTACTCCAGCTATCTTAAATAGGAAGAGCTTGGCTATAGAGATAGTAGGAACTGCAGTTGCTGGAGAATCTGAGATAACAAGGTGTAGAG